TCTCTGCAGTTCGGAACTGGTCATAATGTTGTTTTAACCCCTAATTTCCACATAATCCGTGCACCCTGTGGTCCGTCAGCGCCACGGTTTTGCTCCGTCGAACGGCCCCACTGGATCCGTTTTTGGAACGTGAGCGCAGGAGAGCGCAGCCAAGATCACGTGAGAATTTAGGTGAAAAACGAGCAACTGACATGTTGCTTTGTCTTTCTGAGGTTGCTTTGTTGTTCGTTTTGATGTAATGTCGATGAACTGATGGAAAATACAATCGTGAGTTCGTATATTGTCTTTTATTTTGAAATTGACCGGACGCTCTGTGCATTTCCTCGTCTGACTTCCTTCCTCGTTCTAGTCTGTCCAGGTTGGCGCGGGCCTGCAGTGTCCTCCGTCCAATATAGTATAAGATATATCGCTGCTGGCACGCTCCAGAGACGGACCGCGGTGCTCGCTGTAAAAACACAACCATTGACTAGACTGACAGCGAGTGCAGAGCTTACAGAGTAGGTGGAAATTGGGGGTAAATGTTCTATCCTAGTGCATTAACTAAGTAGATCTCTTGGTTGATTAACCAGCAGAAAATCAACAGTTTGAAGCTGAATTAGTTGAGAACCAAAAAAAAGACTGTGCAGATTCTTGGTGGCATTTGGCACACAAAGACACTACAGAGACTTATTTACGCTTCAGCAGAACTTGCCCTTACAAACACTCACATGGAGAAACACCAGATACCTATTAATAAACACAGAGACACATTTATACAAATTGACTCTGCAGTCATGTCAGGACATGCCCAACCTACAAATGTAGTGGGGAAGGGGCAGGCCCCCCTGTATTTAAAGAGAGGGATCATGGTCAGCCAGAGGGGTCAGGTTTAAAGCTACTCTTGGGCAAACAGTTGGCTGAGTGTGCTGAGGGGTCTTTAAAAAAGATACTGAAGTCCTCCCAGCTTTGGATGTGCTATTAATGGATCTGAGCTTGATTGATGATCTTTCATGTCAAAATTGGAAAACAAAAACCCTAATGTTATCATGTTGACATAGACTATATAAAGAATGGACATAGGAATACCACGCCTCGAGTGAAGCCAAAGATTTAGAGCTGCCCCTGCTGAGTGGCTGCAGTATAGGGACCCCACAGACCCCACCCTCTGTATGTTAATATGGGTCAAACTATAAAAAATCAAAATACACATCAAATACATTTTGATCATCGTCGTTGTAGTTATGATGACGCCATTTTGTTTCATTGTATTTTTTTCTGTAAAGTTTCTTTTTAATTAGTTATTTGATGCTATAAGAAGGTATAAAATTGTGTTAGCAGTATAGAAATAGCGACAGGAAACATAGTGAGCACTTTGACTTCTATACAGTAAAGCCGTTTTCACAAATACACTCCTGAAAATATCTAGATAATTTCAGAAGGACTGCTCGGGATATTCTCCTGACCTGGCAGTCCACACATGCTTCTCACGGCGGGAGAATGGGATGCAACCATGCCCAGAATTTTCTCACTCTGTCACTGTGTAACTTGTCTACCACTCTCAGTTGGGGACACCCTGTAACCCCTGTTGCTAATACTGCAGCAGCATGCTGTGTTGGGTCATTCTCACCTTTGTGGACTATTTCAAACTCAGGCGGCACAAATCTGAGAAGGCTTTTGTTTTCATTGCGGCTGGCCTTACCCACGCTTCGCTTCTCATTGCTTGTTGTAGCTTTAATCATCTGGCCTGCTTCAGTCAGGATATTTCAGAGTGATATTCTAAGAACTATATTTTCAATGGCAAACCCGAGCCTACAATCCTAAACTAAATAATTTGTAATTTGTTGATAAAACTCCTCCATCTTCATGTTTGATTCCTAATTTATCACAATTTTTTAAAAACATCTGCCAAAACATGTTTAACCTCGCAATCTTTGAGACATTCAGAATGCTTGTGCTTAGTGTGCCTAAGCAAATGGCAGCTACTTTCACATAGATTGGTTTCAGCTTATTTGCATTTAACCCACAAACACTTAATCTCCTCTGTCAGTCATTTCATGCGCCGCTGATTTAATTAAGTCCAGTATTAAGTTGAAACGCATGTCAGTTCATACGCAATCGTGTCTATCTGGGTATCCAGTGGAAGTGCTCGTGTGTGCTTTGCTGCGTCATTTGCGCTGGTGTATTTGTGTATGTACGAGATGCTAGAGGCATGTTAACTGCGGTGGAGCCACCAAAGTCCTTGGCAAAGCCACAGTCCAGAAACAGGCAGGATAAGCCCGTCGGTCACGGAGGAGACGGGGCGGGGGGGAGGGGCAGTAAGGAAGAGCACACAATCACTCAAATGGTTTCGGATTTGTTTTTTGTTTTTTTGTTGTCATGTGTGGTCAGGATTGTCAGTATTATCGTCGTGGAAGATTCTGATATACTCCAGAGGCTTATGTAAATACTGGACTGCAGCTAAAGATTATCTTCTCATATAACTAATCTGATATTTGTTTTTCTTTATCAATGGCTTAACTATTTTGTCAATTTAAGATTCTTTTTTTCCCTAAATAAGATCCATCTGTATTTAGTTCATTTTTAAATGAATAAACTATTAATGGGAATTCACTTATTAGGCCGTCATCTCGACCTTTTCAAGAATTGTGATGGGCAATTTACACTTCTTTTTTTCCAGATATTGTTCAATAAACATGGTGTTGAAAAGAGCCAATGAGTTGCCGCTGGAAGTTCAAGAAAGGGGAGTTTAAAGGATTAAAAAAGCAGGCAGTGAGGAGGCACAGCTTGGTATGCAGACATGAATATCTGTATGAACTCGCTCATATCACAGCGAGTGTTTATAGATGGATGGCATTCGGAGTATGTGAGGACTTCAGCGACTGCCTGAGCTGCCGGGAAGTTCTACCCCATGGATCAGTTGATGTGAAAAAATATAGTGATGTGGATTTGAATTCAATTTGTGTCAAGCTGATTGAATTTTTAAACTTTTCTGTCTTTCTGAAAGTCATAAAAGTGAAATATGTTTTTTTGAAAATCTGGCTAATGTTGCCTGTTTCTATAATTCATTTCACTGCTTCATTTGGAAAGTCTAAGTGAATGGTATATATATTTATTAATATTTATTTAACTGACCAAGCTGCAACATTTCACACGTTTGTGATCGAGACTGTGACAGAGGCTACAGCAGCTTTTGCATGCTGGGAAATAAATCACTGAAAGTGGACGCTTACCTCGACATAGAGGACCAATAAATAGATGTATGTAAAAGGAGGGCAGGAGAGATGGATGGCAAACAATTGTAGTGATGAGTGTGTGTGTGTGTGTGTGTGTGTGTGTGTGTGTGTGTGTGTGTGTGTGTGTGTGTGTGTGTGTGTGTGTGTGTGTGTGTACACGTATATGTGTGTTGGTGGGTCTGGAGGTTGCTTTGGTGATGAATCATTTCCGTTTGAGACCCACTAAGACACGGGTCCCCTGGGGCAGCCGTTCATTTTTCTGATGAGCTCACACAGTCACAGACACAAACACACTCACATTCTCTCTCTCTCACACACACACACACACACACACACACACACACACACACACACACACACACACACACACACACACACACACACAAAGCCAACATGCCTCGCCCCCCTTCTGATGTGACCCCAAATCTGCAGATGGAATACAGCCACGGGTTTATAAAGGGCATGAATTGTGCACACGCTCTCTCACACACACGCACACACACACACACTCATAAAAAAAGGTCCCATATTTCATCTTGAAATGTCAGAGGGGATGTAGCGCTGTCAACTGGACACAATCACAACCTGTGCTTGCTCACTTACCGTTAATACGCCCTTTCAGCTTGAAGCAATTCAGAAGCACAACATAAAATTGTTGACGTATAACAAACCGAGCTCCTCAGCTGAGAGATTTAAAACAATAACAGGATGCAAGATCTGGCTGGATTTGTCATTTTTTTCGCGCAAAGCAATAAACATAAAGCATTTAGAAAATAGGACAGAATGAAAATTTAAAGAAGCAGGGGAAGAGTATGCACAATGGCAGGAATGAGCTGTTTGCTGCTTTATTTGTCTGATATAACAGAAATGGCTGCCTGAAGTCGTCAAGTTGCATAATGTGATTTGTTTTCAGGGAGGACTGGCAACTGATAAAGATAGAATCTCATTTGTTTGCATACACTTGCAGCAAAAGGCAATCTGTCTGGATACGGGTCCCTTTAGTCCGTCGTTTGCAGGGATCAGTGAAGGCTAAATTAAATTAACTTATCTTTAATCGACCTATGACCTTTCTGGTACCCGTGGGCGTGGCAGGTAACTTCCACCTGCTCTCTGTAAAGTCACACTAACACGCGCTGTTAGCTGTAAAACGGCGTCGCACGCTCGACTAACCGCCCTCAGATAAAACTCTTTTCTTCATCCTTATCAGCCTCTTATTTGTCACGGTCGTCCTCCCCTCTGGTTTCTCATTATGCACAACTGTGTCCCAACTTTCTGTTTCTTACACCTTCGCTTTTATTCCTCTTTTCTCCATGTCGTCCCACCTGCCTTTATCCATCTATTCCACTTCCTTTCCTTTGTCATAACTAACTAACTCTTTGTAATGTAACCCTGAAGCCGTCTCACCGTCTTGTGTGTTTTTATACGCCTCGTGTGTGTTTCCAACAATACGTCAAGTCCGTCTCGTGTTGCTGCTTTTTTCTTCCATACCACAATCCTTTTCTGCTCATTTCAGCTGGCACTAAGTACTAATTAACATCCGTGTTAATCCCAGAGGAAAACAGCGCCATACTGTATTTAATCGCTGGCTGTGTGTGTGCGTGCTTGTGCCCACATGTGTGACGGCCTTTTTTTGTGTGTGTGTGTGTGTTTACACACCTGTTCCCTCTTCACAGGGCCGAATGTTTAACGATGACAGTTCAAATGACGTGTTTAACGCTACACTGCGGCAAACACAGAATAGAAGAAAAAACCCATTTTCATGCTGTGCTCTCTTTTTCACCCGTGCAGGACGCGACGCCATGACGACAGAAATGCAAGAGATCGCCATCACGGAGGAGAAGCCTTTACTCACGGGTCAGGCTGAAGCAAAGGTCAGAGATGATGCAATGCACACACACACACACACACACACACACACACACACACACACACACACACACACACATGCAAAATGTACATATTGTACACTCACTGCAGACTGCATTAAAAAAAAAGGTGCACAGCCGGGCTGACGTAAGTGTTATCCAGGAATTGAGAAAGAGACCATAAGCACACATAAGTGCATTAGTTAGTTTGCATGTGCAATGGGCTTAATCTGAAACCACAGAGAAAGTGTGTGTGTGTGTGTGTGTGTGTGTGTGTGTGTGTGTGTGTGTGTGTGTGTGTGTGTGTGTGTGTGTGTGTGTGTCCCAGGAGGCAGAGAAAACAAGGGCTGGTTTGTGTCTGTTACCATTTGTGTCCTTGCTTTGTGCATGAATGTGAGTGTGCATGTCTACATATGACAACATGTGTTGCCAACACGTGTTCACGACTGTGTGTGTGTGTGTGTGTGTGTGTGTGTGTGTGTGTGTGTGTGTGTGTGTGTGTGTGTGTGTGTGTGTGTGTGTGTGTGTGTTGGATGTGCAGCGTTGACGTCAAAGCCCCCAGAGGGAACACGAGCGGCTCCTCTGCTCTGCCGATGTTGCGAGCAGACGCAGCGCCGCAGAGCAGAGCTGTCTGTTTCTCACTGCTGACACCTGCTGGACAAACTGGGAACTACAACACTTAAATTAAAAAAAAAAAAAAAAAAAAACAGCTACAGGGGATAAAAATATACACAATTGTATGCTTGTCAGTCAGTGAACATGTAGAGGATTAATTTGTGGACAGCAAAAGATAATGTTAGTTATTATATCACTGTGATAACCCCCAGGAGCTATTTCATCAATTATTATGGATTTGAATGGGCAGATCTATGAAAAAACTGATTTTCTAGATGGTATCAGGACCGCCGTCTGTCATCTTGATCTCCTGCCTCCACCCACGTACAGCTTCCCTCTGACTCTGAACACACGCTGAGCTTTAGTGTAGACTTCTTTGTATTGTATTTATGGATTGTACCCCCCCCCCAGGCCTTTAAGCACACGCCCCGCCTCCATTTCAACTTCCCACTCCTGCTAATTTCTCCTAAGAGCGTGTGATGTTAGTAATTCATTAGCGAGGGTAAAATGGATCAAAAGGTCGCAATTGAGCATCTCGTTTTAAAAAACCTCCCACTGACTGACTTCCTCCATCTAATCGTCAGAAGCCCACCAACACCTGCTCCCCTGAAGAGCATCTCCTCTGCTGCTGTATGAGGAGTGTGAAGCTCCACGTGAAGCCTGAGTGGGTTTTAATTAGGAGAGGAGGCTGAAATTATCATATTAGGAGCATGAAAGACTATATATGTAATTCCTCTCTAACATGCTCTACATGTTATATATGCACATGATGAAGACCATTAAAGATTGTTTTTTATCCTCATGTTCCCCTTCAGATAGTTTTTGTTTCAGTCGTTGGGAAACTAGTGAGAGTATTTCCATCCTTTGGATTTCAAAGATTCAGACATGATATAGAAATGAGTTGATTGTAAGAAAGTAACATAAAAAATGTGCAAACACTGTTAGCCCATTGGCTGAAAATCTACTAGACAGGTGGTGTCTTTTTTTTTCAACGTAAATATACTAAAAATCTGATGAGTCTAGGTTTAGTTATGTGAGAAAGTGGATTATACTAGAGTTTGGGATATTTGATTTATATATATTTATTTTACAGTTCCATGAGGCCATATAGAACACATTTTGAATTAAGAAATAATGACCGCAGTGTAGTTCTATGGGACCGAAAGTTGCATATTTTACACATTTTTTTACCCAATGGCCCAACTAGGGACCAAGAAGTGGAAATTACCAATAGCGTTTTTTTTTTCAGTTGTGTGTTGCTCATCAGTTTCATTCTTTGTTTTGAAACTTTGTTAACTTGCATCGTCCCGTTGAATGAATAAATTCAAGTTGAATTGGTGTCTCTCATATTTGCCTCCCTTAATGAACTCTTCTTCATTTCTCACAGGATGCTGAGGCCGCTGCCAGGATACTGCTGGACCAAGGGCAGGTAAGACTTTTAGTTTTTAGTTGAAGGTTTAAGATTTGGGGATTGAACGTTGACTGAAGAGTTCAGATTAACATGAACAATACTTGTTTGTGTGAAGTAATAAATTGTGTCAGAACTGTTTTCAAATAGTGAGTTGTATTGTGTGTATTCGCTGTATAATCCTTGTAGTTGAGGACTGTTTTTGCGCAACTCTTTATCAGATTCTCGATACAAACTCTCAAGGAAAGGGACAAGAGTTTGGGTATCGGGAAGGTTTTAAATGTCTGAGTAGAATGTTCTAATAGGGTTTTAGCAGGCATTGATCGAAAAAACAGGAAAACGATCTGTGTGGAGAACAAAAGAGACGGATTGCATGGGCTAAAGATCTGACAACGACCAAGCTTTACTTTGTCAAAAATCATCAAAAATCTGCATACAAGTTCAGCTAAGAATCGGGTTGTAGACACGGGTCTGTAACAACTCCAACTACATACTCACATATCAAGTTTCTAGTTAGACTGTCATCATTGATTTGTGCACCAGAAAGGAATTCTTGGCCCAGTTCGATGGCTTCCTATGGGTAATGTGATCTATGATGGACAGAATTCCATGTTTTAGGTCTTGTCCAGCTGTGATGCGGTCCATCCAAAAATGCAAAATAAAAAACAATGGCGAGGTTAAAGCTGTTAAATAAATTAGACATCATTGAAGGAATGTCAATATTGCATATTCAATTTGTTGGGGTTTCCTTACGCTCTCTCCAGGAGCACAGTATCGAGACCCCTCACGGTGTCCTGCATGTGACCCTGCATGGCACACGGACCACCCGCAGGCCTGCTATCCTCACCTTCCACGACGTGGGTCTGGACAGTAAGTAACTTTCTCTCTCTCTCTTTCTTTTAGTCGCTCTTCAGGTCTTCATGACTTTTTCTTCACCTCCTGTCTCTCTCTCTCTTTCTCTCTCTCTCTTGCTCTCTCTCCATGGCAGGTAAGAGCTGCTTCTCCCCTCTGTTCAAGTTCGAAGAGATGCAGGAGATTGTCAAGAACTTCACCCTGATCCATGTGGATGCTCCGGGGCAGGAGGAGGGGGCTGCTGCCTATCCCGTAGGGTATGAAAATCCACTTAGATCAGTGTTCACGTGCTGGTGTTCCCTCCCTCGACCGTCCTGATGTAACCTTTTTATTTTATTAAGTAAACTTCTCAGAAATGGAGACAATCCTCTGTGGAAGGCTTAAAACCTAATCTCTTCCGAAAATACTCAACACTCCCATCGCTCCTATCTCCCTCTTCTCCGCTCTCTAATACACTCGTGTCAGAGATTTAAATAAAAATCCAAACCCTTTCCCTCCGTCTCTTCTCATTTCTCTCTCTCCCCCTCCCCCCCCCGACACTTCTCTATCGCGTCTCTTTCCTCTGCGTGACCGTATGAGGGGCTCAGGAGGATTTCGACTCGTGTATTGTCACGGCAACACGACTGTGACTCTTGACTCCTGCTGGTGATTCGAGGAATTGAGGCTTATTCTTCTGTTTTATCTCGGTTTTTAAATCCCTGTGGGTAGAACGGCACAGCTACTGTAATGTTCTTAATGTGAAACCATAAGACATCAAATCATCCAAAAACTACAAAGAGGTCTTCTCCCGAGGAAATACTTTTCCTTTTTGAATTAGTAATAAAAAATTAGGCTGTTTATCAATATTTGGGTTTCAGTTCACTATACTTGTGTCTAATAAAAACTACAAATCCCACTGTTGCATCCACCAAAAGTGCTCTTTTGATGGAAAGTATAGCAGCAACTTGAGTTACTAAACATCAAATTGATTTTCTTTTTTCCCCCCCTGGCATGTCATTTTCTGTTCATGTTTTCTGTATAATTAGAAACAAATTACAGACATTTCTTTTTGGGAGCACATTTCCATGTTTTTTCAGTTTCAAAAATGTTCACTTGTGTCTTCTGTCGTAGTTACCAGTATCCCTCCATGGACACCGTAGCAGAGATGATCCCGGCCGTCCTGCAGTTTTTCAAGTGAGTCAACATGATTCCTTTTGTCCTCATCACATGTAAAATATTCTTGAGCAAACGCAAACAAAAGGGAAGTGTAGACCTGCAGGAATTTCCCCTCTGATTGTTCCTAATGTTTAAGTCATGTTATGTACAGTGAATTTATGTGGGACGATGCTTTTCGGCTGCCGGAACTTCAAGTTTTATAAAGATACAGGGTGGGGAAACCTACTCTGCACAAAACCATCACAGTGCATCTCAAAGGTCCACTCCTGAAGTGTGTCAGCCTGCACAGTTAGGTGGATGAAAATAATCTAATTTGCACATTGATTCACGTTTCATTGAAAGTTAATGGGCCAAATAATGAATTCCTTGGAAGACACATCATTTGACTACGTCCTTGAGTGGACTCTACAGAGGTTTTCTACCATTTCCTTTTTTTTTTTTATTGAACAAGAACAACTGCATAGTTCCCATTTTCTGGACTGTTTCAACTAGCAAACCCATCCAGCCAAAGCTCAATTAATCAATATCCTTCCGTCTTAAGAAAGGACAAAACAAGACGTCATCTTAGACACTGATCGTCATTTTTTTTTTTAAGCTTTAAAAAAAGTGTTTTTAAATGTTATAGATCTAACATTCATTGATTGAAAATGAAGATTTCTGGTTTGAGTTTTGAGTGTGCTCCATCTTTTAATGCATCTTTATATTCCGTTATTAACTTGTTATGTCCCTTTTCAGCTTCCGTACCGTCATTGGGGTGGGTGTGGGTGCTGGAGCGTACATCCTCTCCAGGTTTGCGGTGAGTCTTGTCTTTTTTGCTCTCTCATGTTCTGAATGCTCTTGTGTGGTGTTTTATTGGTCAAGCAGCAGTTTATATCGTTGTAATGTGTGCAGCCATTAAGTCCAAGACAGATTTTTCCCTACAGGGACAATAAAGTATAGAGTGTTGTAGTGTTGAAGAACTCAGAATCGGTCTTGGTCTCGATGGACCGATCAAGACCACCTCTGATAGGCTGTTTTTCCACGTCATTGCTGTGATTAGAAGGAAAACATCCCGTTCTAAAAGAATAAATACCTTCACTTTTTAGTTTGATTTACGTCAGTAACGGTCTAAGTGAATGACACGCCCACTTCACTCAAGATGATATCAGTGATATTTATAGTCTTGGTCTTGTCTGGGTCTCCCCCTGCCTTGGTCTTGGTCTTGACTCGGTCTCAATCCCCAAATGTCTTGGTCTTGTCTGGGTCTCCCCCTGCCTTGGTCTTGGTCTTGACTTGGTCTTGACTCGTCTCTAGCCCTAGATGTCTTGGTCTTGACTTGGTCTTGACTCGTCTCTAACCCTAAATGTCTTGGTCTTGACTCGGTCTCTAGCCCTAAATGTCTTGGTCTTGACTCGGTCTCTAACCCTAAATGTCTTGGACTTGACTCGGTCTCTAGCCCTAAATGTCTTGGACTTGACTCGGTCTCTAGCCCTAAATGTCTTGGTGTTGACTCGGTCTCTAACCCTAAATGTCTTGGTGTTGACTCGGTCTCTAGCCCTAAATGTCTTGGTCTGGTCTCAATCTCAAAGCACTTTGGTCTCAGGTTTGTCTTGGTCTCGGTTAGTGTGATCTTGACTACAACACTGGCGCATTGTTTCTTATCGTTTCGTAAAGTATTGTATCTGAAAAAGTGTTTTTTTTCAATCCTTTACCGTGACTGATATCCAATCTGAACTACTTACACAAAGTTTAACAGTTCCACATGTCTCGTCTCTGCTTTTGCTTCTTGTCCCTCTCTATAGATTGCAAACCCCGATTCAGTGGAGGGTCTGGTTCTGGTCAACATCGACACTAACGCCCGAGGATGGATAGACTGGGCCGCTCAGAAGGTACCTTTCCTTTTCCATCATTCCTTATATCCTTTCCTAGGCAAGACGCCAGGAACATTCACCATATTAATCTATTTAGTCACTTAAATGAGTTCTGTGAGAGCATGTGATGGTTTTGACCCATGGCAGAATTGATTGAGTCATTGTATGTCATATTACACAACAGTCTCATTGATTTCTCTCTTTCGTCCTTCCCTCTCCAGCTCAGCTCTGTGACTTCCTCCCTCACAGAGCAGATCCTGTCCCACCTTTTCAGTCAGGTATCAAAATACAAAAACTACTTCCTGTTTTTTTTTTTTTTTTGTGTTGCAGTTTGAAAATGTCTTCTCAAACAAGTATTTTTTTCTGTAGGAGGAGCTGTCATCAAACACAGATCTAGTGCAGTCTCACAGAGAGCGCATCTCCAAAGCATCTAATCTGATCAACATAGAGCTCCTCTGGAAGACTTACAACAGGTTAAAAAAAAACCACACACCTTCAGATATTACGGAATAAACACATTCACACAACACATCAAACAGCCAACAAACAGAACTCTTTTCTTTTTCCCTCCAGTCGCAGAGACTTGAACGTTGACCGCAACAGCACCTTCAAGTAAAAACCCTCTAAACTTTTATCCTTTTTTTTTTTTAAGTCAAATCTGAATAAAACCTGTCAAGTTGTCAAAGCTAACCCCCTGATCTAATCTTCTGACACCCTCAGATGTCCAGTGATGCTGGTGGTGGGCGATCAAGCTCCATATGAAGAAGCAGCCGTAAGTCTTCGTAACTCACATTATGTCTTATGCGTTTCTTCTCAGATGTTTTAAGCGCCTTGGTAATTGTTGGTTTATCCAAGATGTGTTCAACAACGGCCTTATATGGAGAAATGCGTACTTTCTTTTGATTAACTGTGAATGGCGTCATGTCTTCTTTAACCCTTCAGTTCCATTCAAGACAAAGTCTAAACTGGACTGGCGTTATTTTTGAGTTAGCAGTGTACTTTTGCTCGAGCACATGACCTCAACCATGAATATGATTTTTGCTTAAGTCAGCAAATAGAGATGGGAATTGGAAAATGGTGGATTGGTGGATTGGTGGATCCAACACTACTGCATGATGTCATCAAACATCATCTTTTGTCAGTGCTTTGATTGAATGATGGTTGTGTTTTGGCTCTGTTTTTTTGTGTATCTTTTGTTGAGTTTTATGTATTTTAAAGGCCCATCTAGGGACGGACATTGCAAATTAGCTTAGGTAATAAATGCTACAGTGTGCAGCATCTTGCTCCATATTAGTCTCGATACAAATATACATGAAATAAACAATCCATAGATGTAAAACTTAAGTATCAGGGTTTACCTTGATGACTTGGCATATTTGTAGTGGCTGATGCATTACTGTAATGGTTTGTTTTGTTTGTGTGTGTGTGTATGACTGTATGTATGTGTGTTTGTGTTTGGTCACTCAGTTAGCTAAAGGGCTGGGGTGACGGTTTGTATATGTAGTTGTATAAAAGGTGCTGTGTTAATAAAGTTCATTGTAAATAACATGTGAATGACAGACGTCAGCTGTCCAATCACATTAGAAGAAAAAACCATTAGAACAATACTAATCCACTGCTAATGAAAGTGGGAGTGTCTGCGGCACAGAGAGCTGTGCCCAGTGGAAAACGTGAGATAAACCAAATAGAGAGAAGCCTCGGATCACCTGTTTGGTGAAACTTTAAGGACTTCCATTCACCTCCATTAAGCCAAGAAGTATACATATTCAAACAGAAGTAGACTAGTACGATGTTGAACCAATTTTTAAGGGATATTGACAGACTACCAGGTGCATTGTGCATTCTCTAGTTACTGAATGTTAACATGGTTAAGAAGACTTTAACATGTTGCTATTTGAGCTGAGCGTCATTAAGTTTTCCTTTTGTTACCACTAGGTGGAGTGCAACAGCAAAATGGACCCAACAACAACCTCATTCTTAAAGGTAACCAACCGTCATGTCAATCTCTTCTTTTGAAATATTTATCAATCTTTCCATACTTTATTATTATTTTTTTTTTTTAATTCACATCCCTTGACTTCCTCTGTCCTTCCTTCACAGATGGCGGATGCCGGTGGTCTCCCTCAGCTGACTCAGGTAACAAAAAACTAGCAGTTTCCTTCCGAGATTTGAAACACAGATGATAAAACAGGCATGACTTTGACATACCTGTTAAAATCAACTATCAAAATAAAGGCCTTCAAGACAAAAAAAAAACAATGCAATACAATAATTTGTTGTGCACAAACATGAGCCAAAATGTCACCTATCAACACAAATATTGAATATTTAGCAGAAGTAAGAAATACTTATAAGGCCTTTTTCAAAATTCAGCAAAACCAACCAAACACACCACTGTTTAAATTTGACTGATCAAGCTGAACTTCTTGGTGTTACGCTCATTCAAATGATTATTAGTTATTATTATTACTATTCCTTGGCTGCTACATGGGTCATAATTATAAATATGTGATATGTGCAGAATGAATACCTGTACATCAACCTGAATGTAAAAACTGAAAAATGTTTTCTTTGTATTTACAGCCAGCGAAACTGACCGAGGCTTTCAAGTACTTCATCCAGGGAATGGGCTACAGTAAGTTGTACAGGTTGCATACAAAGTGATACAAGATGTTATAAATACAGAGGGCATGACTGTACTCAATGTTTTGATTTGTTTTAAAGTATGTTGGTCCGTCTGTTGTGTGCAGGTCTTGCTCAAAAGTTTCATTTTGTCTGTCACTAATTTCAACAAATTCAATGAAAAAGTCAACAATTAATTAATTCAACTAACACGTATTTTCTGTGTAGCCAAATCCCAGTCCAGTTGAATCTTCTAGTGGTCCATTGGTTTCCCAAAACTATGGGAAACATAGTTCCCCTGTGACCTTTACTTTCACAAATCCATCTCCCCAGTGCTCCAAATATTCGCTTTGAAATGTAGATAGCCTCAAACTACTTCATTATAATTCATCCTTACTCTCTAGATGTGTGATAGCGTCTCTAATAAATCTAATCCTTTACTCTGTTTCTTTCCCTCCACAGTGGCTTCATCTTGCATGACCCGCCTGTCCCGCTCACGCACCACCTCCCTCTCCTCCTCTTACTCCATGGATGGGTCCCGCTCTCGCTCTCGCACCCTGTCCCAGGGCTCGCAGGGCGGTCAGATGCCGCCTAGCCCCTCCCAAACGATGGAGGTGTCCTGCTGAAGCAAAAAATAAATAAAAAATAGTAAGAGAGAGAGCGAGAAAGAGAAGAGGTGGAGGGCTGAAGGAAGGGAAAGATGAAGAAATGATAGTAACGCAGGAACAAGATGAATGGGTTACTTATTTGTCACTAAACAACTATCATCATTCCCCACACTAGCAGGAAAGGAAAACAGATGAGGAGAGGGAGGGAAACAAGACGAGTAGAAAGATTTCTGAGGAATATCTTCAGACTTTGCACAACATACGAATCCTCTCCTTTTCCTCACATCCCTTTTTCCAGCTGTAAACTATGGATTGGGCTGTTCTTAAAAAGAATCAACAAAGTATAGTCTAAAAGAGATTAATATAAAAAAAGGGGGGGATGTGGGGAAATATTAGAAACCAGTCCTCTCTTCCTCCCTCTATTGGAGCAGCCAATAGAGCCCTTTAATTTAGATGAAGGAGGCCTATAGAGACCGCACATCTGACATTAACTGATAGTAATAATCCTGAAAATGACAATGTTCTTGATGCTGATAATGTTCTCAATGATGATATTAAAGCTAATGATGATGATGATGATAATGTAACAGAAAAAAAACTGTAACACTTTTCTCTTTACTAAGCAATTTAAAAATGACATAGATGAAAAAAAAACACTATAGCAGATATAACAATGTGTGTCTACTACTTTTTAAGCTAGTTTTTACTGTGTAATTTCTTTTTTTTCTTTTAATCGGATTTTTAATTTTTCTTAACTGTAACCTGCCTCAGCAAGGGGGCCAAAGCTACCGGTTGGTTGACCTTTTTGTGTGGTAACAGCCAATGAGAGCCATTATAGTGACTACTTCCTCCTTGATGTTGCCAGGTTGTTTATGTCTTCCATTCGCCCCGTCTATAAGTGACTGTTTTGTTTTTTCCCGTTTGGTATGAGGAGTCGGGATGGAAGCCTTTTTTTTTTTTTCTAATTCTTCTTCTTTTGGACAGTTTGGGTAGTGCATGTCCGGTATGAGCCCATGTGAATATTGACTGGATAATATGTTTCTTTTATATTTTGGATTTGGGTGTGTATGCATGTACATGTGCTGCGTTGTTAGCTTGGTGTGTTTAGCTAACATGGAGGACTGAAGAAAAAGCACTATGTGAGACTGAGAGATTATGTGTGCTTTTAGCTAGCTAGCTAGTACCCTATGGTAAGCCATAGTCAAACTCTCCCAGTGTGTCCCAGTTCAGGGGCCCCTTCCCTTGATAGACCTAGCTTACTAAGGATCCAGTGTTCGTCGCCTGTGTAGACCGCTTGCAGAGGATTCCCCACTGGCTGTCCCTGCCTTTACCCTTTCATTTAAAACGTGTATTACTCGACCGCTTCAGATTCCGCCATCTCATTTGAATTGGCGTTCAATGAATCTCAGGATATGATGGGTCATGAAGGATGCGCAAGATGGATCCTTCATTAGCCGGGGTAAGAAGGATGATTTTGTTGTCCCACATTTGAAGGAGTCTTCGTAAAGGGACAGCGCCCCTAAATTGGGACATGGCCTACAAATAGTGCTTCCAATACTGGTGGCAGTCTCGCACAGCGTGACCTAATATCCCTGTTCATGACCTACTCAACATGAAGCATTACATCCCTAAAGTAGCATGCTAGCTTAGATATTTCATTTGGGTGTTACGCGTGGCCAGAAGGGTTCAGTGTGCATCATCTGGGTTGTACGCTCTTAGACTTGCCCGCGCATGGATTACCTCCTAAAAACAAACCCCAGCTAGCATGCTTGAGTTTGAGGTTAAATGAACGCCCCACTCCACCTCTCTGTTAACGAGCAGCTTTATTTTAAGCAAAGGGGTCAGGAGATTTGTGTTTGTATGTGATCGTTGCAATGTGTGCGTATGTCTGAGGAAGGATATGTGAGGTGAATGGAAGCACTTGTATCCTGTAAGCACAAGTAATGCAGCAGAGAGGGCCAGGGTCCTTTAGAAAACTTTAGTTTTGATTAGCGCTGAGACCAAGAAAGCCCCCTGTGACTTATTGATGACAATGTACCAGCCCCTTCACTGCCAAAACACTCAAGAGAGTAAGAAAGTAAAACTAGGGCTGCACCTCTTGGAACACCCTCAAATATTCAGCCTGATATGAGAATGAAAACAGCCAATTGGAATTGGCCGCCAATAAGTATTCTTACTGCCAAAAAATAAGAGGCTGAGTTTTCCTGGGGGATAGGGTTTCTGTCCAAATCCTGCCATTAGCTGTGATGCTAGCCAAACATGTACCTGGCTAGCATCTTTTATAACGTCTCACTGAATTTAATTTTGTTCTGTGATATTTCAAATGCAGATAAAACACAAAGCGTACCACTGCCCTACATCAAGTAGCCATTTGGATGACCATACTCTTAAAAGTGGCCCTAGTTGGACCCGAAACGATACCCTTGGAGTGCATGTGCATTTGTAAACAAGCTCCTTTTTTTCTGATGCACGTTTGCATCTGATTTTTTTTTTTTTTCTCAAATAAGCAGTTTAATTTTTAGTGTTGCCTCATTTGCTTTCTAATGCTCCTCTCCTAAACCTGTTTGATGAAGCATGGAGGATGGAGAGCCTCACATTGGAGATCTCAATAAAATGGTACTTGGGAGGTATTGATGATGACAACAGTAATCTGTTTTTGAGTCGCTTCCCCTCTGGCAGTTCACAACCAGCCTTCAAAAGGTCAATAACTGTTGTGTTTAGTAAGACAAACACAAATCTTAAAGTTAAGATGATTTAAGTGTATATGTAAAACCAGGATGCTGCCATGTTTAAGGCTCATTTTCCAGAGGGCTGAAGAGTAGAATGTAAATGTTTGGCTCTGCCCAGACTTCAATTTAAACTCAAACAGCAGGGCACGGGAGCATGTACCAAATAAGGGATAATGGACGGAGTCTAGGAAAATAAAATTGCCAAATATGGAAGAGGAGCGGTACTTTTTTGTTCAGAGTTGAGCAAGGCTGTGCGATTGTAAATGCTTATCCACTTTGTCTTTTGTTTGTCTCTTTTTCTTTTTTTTTTCCATCATATTTGTCTTTCCCCTCTTGGTTTTTTTAAATTTTAATTTTTGGGGTTTTTAACCCACGTGAAGTGTTAGTTTTACCGTCCAAATGTGCTCACAAGTTAGTTAACCGTGTGATAGTTCTTGTGTAACTTTTTTAGCATTAGAGCTGATAAGGGAGAAATAATATGAATAACAATTAAGAAAAAAAAAAAAGATAAAAGGTAAAGAGAATACAATCAGATTTACTTGTGTGGCTAATTTCTCTGTGTAATTAAAATGGACATCCTAAAAAAAAAATCAACCTTTAAATATTAATAAAAGGTTATGAGAAACATCCTGTCTCCTGTCTTGAAAGTTCAAGAGATTCTGATGTAAAGGAAAAAGCTTGTTTGTTTAATACAGTTTGCCTTTATTTGCTTCATACATTCTCACACACACACACACACACACACACACACACACACACACACACACACCAAGTTTCCAACTGACTTATCGTATACATACAGTGGTGGTGAAGTGGTGCCTGAAGAAGTGGGTATACTCTGAATTATTTACCCAAAACGTTTCTTTTAAGTGGCCCATCACCGAAAGGATAAATGCCCTCTGTTAATAACAGTGGCTTTAGCACTGCTCTTGAATATTTAGTTAGTGTGAACTAGCCAATTAGAGACAGAGTAGGGAGGGTCATACATATATACTCATTTGTATATGTTTTATTATTATATTTATATGATGTATTCATATATACTTCTGTTTTTATCTCTGCTCTGTAAGGTGACCTTGAGAGTTTTGAAAGGCGCCTTTAAATAAAATGTATTATTATTATCATTATTATTATAAATCCTTTTAACACACAGTGGCAGTATTGACATATTAACTTACCTCTCAGCATTATACTGGTCTCAATTTGATGCTTTCTTCATGCTCAAATGGTGGGAATTTGGTCTTACAATTAGATTTTCTTTCCCTAAATATTTCAACAGAAATATGTATAGAATATGTATATGTGTAGAAATATGTACTTCAAGTGGCAATAGTCAATGAAGATGGTTAAGATGGTAGCTTGATTTTAATTACACAAAGTGATTTTGAAATTTCATAAAAAATTCCACTTTTTTTAAATTAATAATTACAATAAAAATACACGTATTAGTGTTTTAGGTGCTTTTCCAAACATTAAAATGTCACATACAATATGAAAGAATAGTCAGGATCACGATAATGCTTTCACTCTGTCATTTGAAGGAATATAAATTACGGAGAAAAAAAATGAATATAAATGATGAATTAACTAAAGAATCTCAAAACCAAAATGTAGAACAAAGAGGTAACAGAGAATATGGACCAAAAATAAAAGTTAACGTTGCTCAATGCAGAATATAAGAGTACAATAAAAAAATATGTTTGCTAAAGATATTTGATTAGAAATTGGTTATTTGAATCAACACCATCACTTATTATACATACCATGTTATATTTACCATAAAACGGAACAGGAATCTGTGCTGATAAACATGTAAATTAAATACATTAATGCCAGGGTTTATCCCTCGGGCATCAGTTTAATTTAATACCCTCTTAAGTCACTAAGGACAAAAATGTCCACTTCCAAAAAACTGCTATAAAAATAAAACAGATTGATATTTTTTTCTACTTTTTTCTGCATATATCTCTTAAACAACTTCAGCCCTGCTCAAAATTACCAAACATTCAATCATTTTTAGGAGTTTAACCCTTTAAATGCCAGTTTGATTACTTGATATCACTGTAGTTATTTATGAAAAAAAAAAAAAAAAAGACTTATTTCCAAATAACAAATATTTGGTGGCTGGGAGATTTTTTTTAAAATCAATCTTGGATATGTCAAAGATTATCCAAAATATTGACTTTGATGCATTGTTAGTTTATGTGTAGCATCAGATTTAAAATGTAGTTCCCTGTTTGGACATTGGAGGGCGAAAATATCCAATTTACAAAAACTGTTATAAAAATAAAACAGATTGATATTCTTTTCTACATAAATCTCTTAAACAACTCCAGCCCTGCTCAAAACTATCAAATATTGAATAATTATCAGGAATTTAACCCTTAAAATGCCAGAACCATGTAATCAAACTGGCATTCCCAGTTTGGGATCACATAGTTTATGAAGACAGATACATTTCCAGAAGTCTGATGAGGAAAGAAAGAGGTTAACTTAAAAACCCACAGCAAGCTGGAGCTGGGCCTTGTTTTTAAGTTTTTTATAAAGTTTGTGGTTGACAACACACTTTACAAATCCATTGTTTGATGGGTTGGTTGGCTTGATTTTCTTTTGCTGAAAATCTAAATTTCCTGCCATCTATCAGGAGTTAGAAAATGTTTGCCTTTTTAACTTTGACAAAACCCACCCAGAGAGAACAGTGTGTCTAAAGTATACACTCTAAAAATAAATACTGCATATTACTTAATTTAAATGATGAAACATTTTTACACACAAAAATATTGAGTAAATTTCAAAGCTTTGAAATCAAGTAAAACAAACCATGAATAATGAGTAGAGTTACTTAATATTTTCAATCGTGTACGCATGAATTGATTTAGTAAAATAAAAAATAAAAAAATGTAAATTTAATTGAAATACTCCATAAACTGTATAGAAAATGTGAGCAGAAAGCACTGAAGAAAAATAATAATATTTAACTTTGACAATTATTTCTAACTGTCTTGCGACTTATGTTGTGTGAAACACACAATACAGTAGTCAGCCAAGTGGTATGTATCACAAAGAAACTTTAACAGTTTACTTTTTAACAAAATATATATATCTCTCTAGGAATGCTATCCACAATGTTGTCAGACTTACAACAATCTGAACTTTTAAGTGGCAAAAACAAAAACTTGTCTGTTATGTGTTGTAAATATGTGTTCAAACCAAAACACATTGAAAAATAAAGCCCGGTTTCAAAAATCCCGGTGTTACTCTTTAAGTGACTTTACAATCAAAATTTGTGGTATAAGGCAAAATCAAATCATCCCCTCTATTAAGTTTCGCATTTAGATGACCTTACATTGATCAACTCTTCTCTCATTTGTGATGGATATGCTTTTTTTTTTTAAAACTTCAAATGAAAACTAAAGCTTAAAATTAAACTTTGAATTGCATTAAGGTTAGAAACTTAAAATGCATTAAGTACATTCTCCTCTAGAAGTACATTAAAATCATTTTTTTATTAAACTGCCTGTAAACTTAAAATCAGATGCGTCATGCCTAATAGAAAATAAAAAAATTGAGAAAATCCTTCTTAAAGCAAGTTGTAAATGCAGACTCAATATACATTGAAATCAGATGAAAACTGTGAACCTGACCACACCTGATGATGGTCTGACTAAATGGAGCAATAGATTGCTTAAGTTTCTCTCCAGAACCACACTACTAACAAGAGTCCACATTCCACACATGGTTCAATTGGGTATGAGTCACATTTTCAACTGAACAGCTGCCCCCAAGCAACTACATGACCATGTTTCTCAGTCTTTGCACCTTTACTAAAAGGTTTCCTGCATCTACCTCCAAAAGCATCTTTTGAAATACCTCAAAAATGTATTTCAGAGTTTTGGGGTATTTCAGATCCAAGACATAAGTCAGTCCTAGCAGGTAGCAGCAGGCTCTGCTGAGATCTCCAAGATGGTTGAGCACAGCGGAACACTCGATGACGATCCCGACATCGACTTGTCCACTTTCATTCCGGACCAGGTACACAGCCATCACCTCTGCTGCCAGCTCTTCTTCCACATCGAAGAAGCTGAATCAGCAGTCTGCAGATATTGTAAAGACAACTGATTATAACATGCAGGCAGGAAGCCAACAAATAAAAATAAAAAATCAATTACCAAAACAACTAAATTAATCAGTTGTAAAACATTGTATAGCAAGTTTTTAACTTAAAGATAGCACCATGATTTTTTGCCAGTTGATTACTTGCATTAAAACAATATTTTTTCTGAACTATAATTTTTTTAGAAATGTTTGAATAAACATAAAAATTTTGCGACATCCAACTAATTTGCATCTCTTTAAAAAAAACAAAAATCTAGATTTTGGATAAAGCCAGAGTTAAAATATTCATTTAATTTTTACAACATATTAATGTCCAAAGTTTTTACAGAGCAGATTTTGGATAGAGCCTTTTTTTATTTTATAAATCAAATGTAGGGATATTAAAAATGAATTTTCTGTATGTTTCAAAAACAAAATGTTTCATAAATGAGAAGGATATGTACAAATCCTTCTGTAATAACCTTCAGAATAATGTTAAAAATGATTATGGAAACTTTAATTGATGTAAGTGCTTTAGAAATTGAGATATTTAGTTCAGAGTAAGTAAAAATAAAATCGAGGGCTGTCCCCTTATACTCGACCAAATGGTCATTAGTCGGATTTTGACTAATTTTTAAGATGACTAAGATTTTTGGTTCAGTGTTGAAAAAAACTAATGTTGAGATCATGTCTATTAAAGATAGTTGTATAGGAGAAATATACAGACGCAAACAGACAAGGTTTGTCACATAAACACCTAAATATACATTCTTGACCTCTTATATATATACTGGTATGAAAAATATTGTAGCGCTTATGCATTACCGAAATAAACTTAATTTCAGTTTAACACATTAGTTTTAGGGAGAAACCCAAACGTTTTTATTGGACTCACCTCAAACTCCTTACATAAGGCACACACATCTTCACCAAGGTGGTCAATAAGACATCGGATGACAACTTCTCTGGTCTTCTCAATGTGAACTCCGCTCTGTTAAGGAGAAAATACATTTTCACACAAAAGACATGACACACTGCTCACTTTCCTCAGTGCACATTCTAGCCTGGAGAAATATTAATGACAAGCTAGGAAGGGGAAAGCAGTATCTAAACAGAGGAGTAAACTACAATACCTGGAGTAGCGTATTCATTTCTGTGCGATGTCTCTCTCCAGCAGCACCTTTCTTGGCTTGGAAGATGGAAAGCAGTTTAGGGGAATAACGGTCCAACATCGACATGAATTTGGCCTCAAGATTTACGGTGGTGATTCGTTGAAACTCTGCGTTGACCTTTGGAATTTTTCTTTTTTAAAAAGACAAAAAAAGAGCTTTGATTTTCTAAATTAGATTTGAGCAACACAATGCAATACAATCAAAAAGAGCTTGAGCATTTTCTGCCCAAGATGGCTTTGTGTTGAAGAAATGCCACTAACTCACCTGTGACACGTCAAACAAGGCAGTGCCATCTCTCCTTGATAGCCTTGATGCTCAACTGAAGACTGACGACATCATGTCTTCTATGCACAAATGTGTTGGACATCAACTCCTGGATGGTTGTGCTGCTGTCTCTCTTCTTTAATTCAGAAAGAATTTGTATGCGCAGTTGCTCTTGGTTTTCACTGCTTTCTCCTGAAGGATAGTTCGGGAGATAAATCACTTCTCCTTTTCGTGCTTTTTTGACATTTTGGGCTGTTTTTTTTTTCACCAGGATGCTTGTTTTTGAGGGAGTTGCATGTAACTTCAGGGAACCCAAGATTTCTGAGCTTCGACCTGTAATTTCCCATCTTGTAGTTTAGGCTATACATCCATCCGATCCATCCATTACGACTCCCAGTTTCTGTCAGAAAAGGATGTTTTTTGACTAAGGCTTCTGCGACCTGTCCGACCTGAAGGCCTGTGGGATAAGCTGTGTGACCGTATATGTAATCAGCCAGTCCTTTCATGATTTCAGACCTGACACGGGTGTTGTTGAGGACAGTGCCATCTTTTGCAAAGTCTTCATTGCCATGTCTCAGCACTGCCTCCGTTGCAACTGAAAACACTGGAATGACAATTTCATTTAGCCAGGATGCCCTTTGAGGGCTAATATGACAGTGTCTTGTGATGAAGATGTGCCATCCGACTGGTAATCTGCAGAACTAGACGACAACCATGATGAATTCCAACTGGAGGTGTCGCAACAATTCTCACCACTGGTCACATTTTCAGTCTCAGTTGCTGCAAGTGAAAGCACTATTGACGGAATCATTAGTACTTTGATTGTCCCCTTATGTTGAACCTGGTTAGTAGAATGAAGTGTAAAGTAATCACCAAAGTCTTCATCAAAGTAATGCATGGTGAATTCCTCATGGAGTTCAAATGTGTCCTTTACAGTCTTATGTAAATGATCCACTGTGTCTGGCATCCCTGAGGGCAGTGTGAGCTTCTCACTATGGTGAGCTATAATCACCTTCAAAACAACAGGGTCCATCTGTATGAAAATAAATCACAACTGGAAATCAGAGCAGGAGTAAGACACTTTGGTGAAAAAGACAAACACCTAATACTGGACAATAATGTGTCTTTTTAAAGTGACCATGCGTTTGCCTCCCACACAATATGCTGCCAAGGGGTATGTATCACTAAGTTGCTGTATCTGCAACAGGGTCACTTTCCCAGAGTGCTCCAAAACAAATCCCCTAAAATGTTCATAATACCAGCTGTTAAGACACTTAACAATAAAATTGAGATCACTGCCTACAATCGCAATCTGTGAAATCTCCACAAAATCAGGTAGACCTCCAGTACATCCATAAGGAAAAATCATCCCCACTGCATATTTGTTCATAGTTTTTTTTAAGCTCTCCTGTAATCTGCATGCAACAATGCCAATGAAATACTGGTCACTTTACTGACAAATAATGCAGGTTTCAAAGCATCAGCATGTAGATGATATGCCATCATCATTTGGTGCCTTGAGGCGAGAGACAGTAATACATTTCTGAAGCTTTGTGTGTATTTGACAACTCTCTTGAAAAAACTATGCTTTGCCTCAAAGCGCATAGTCCAGACACAAACCAAAGGACCAAAGCATTTTATCATAGCAGGATAATGCTCCAAAAAATGGTGCTTTGGAATTAACTTTTGCTCAGGAAAAACTTCCAACAGTCTATGGCGATGTTTGGATATTAGTGTATCTAGGTAGTTAATACTTTCCTCTGTATGAATAGGGGATACCACAAGTTCAGTAATATATTTTAATGTCATGAGAACTTGCCAAGCTGGCTCATTGAATGGTATCTTCACACCAATTATGAACGGTAATAATCTCAGTAGGGTCCAATTCTCATGTGCATTCCCACCAATAGATTTGTGAGATGAAAGATTTTGTGGGATGGGTTGGGGATGATCAGTTTTATCTGTCCAAGTATATGGAAACTGAGTTATTGACTCATTCAGTTGTAACAGGGTGAAATACTGTTTTTTTATAAACAAGTTAAGACATAATGCCAACTCCAAAGGAATTATTCCTTCAAAGAGATCGTGGAGCACGTCTGGAGGTACCCAGTAACAAAATGGAAATGCTTTAATTTTTCTGTTAAGGTACAAACTCTCTTTACACCATAACAATGTAACAAAGCAGAGTTTTCCTTTACAGTCTGAACATGTAAAGCATAATTCTCCTTTGTCCTTGGCTGGAAAACCCCTCTATGCACCTCCTTTTGCTGATAGTCTGAATGGTCCCCAATACAAAATCTACGTATGTGATGCCCAGTAAAGCTCTCTACAAGGCCACTCAATAAATGAGCACCAAGATTGTCAGCTGAAACACAAAAAACTGTTCCTCTGATATTTTTACCAATGGTAGGGAAAAAAATGCCTTCTTCCTCTAATGTGATGAGATCGTTCAAGAGAGGCTCCAAAACAGTTTCATAGCCACATTTCTTAACATCATTCGCTTTACAAAGGAGTGCCAAATTAATTGATGTTAATTGTGAGCTCAACTCTGATGGCACATCTGCAAGTAACCAATACACCGCTGTCACTTTATGTTTTTTCCGTGAGGTTCCAAGCGAATTACAGACTTCAAAATCATCCATGTAAAGTATAAGTGAAATCCTTAGCTCTCCATCAGCATTAAACTCATTTAACTTGAAATATTTGCCATCATGAAATGATGACAACTGTGATAGAGTTCCTGAATGTCTTGTCAGTATCCTACTTGCAATGTCTTTGTCATTTAATAATAGCTTTAAGGTTTGTAGAATAGGTACATATTGAAAGGTGCAGTTGTCTGATGGAGCCAATATATATTCAACTGGCTCAATAACATGAAAGTTTTCTATGAAATACTTTCCCCTCTTGAATTTAGAAAAAAACGGACCATCTGGAGCTAGAGCTTTATTGAGAGGGTTGCAGACAGACAATTTTTCGACTAAATCACTGATAACCATTTCATCAACAGTGCAGTTATTTTGTGTTAAAACGTCTTTCATTAAATTTGAAATATATATATAACTGAAGCTGTTCCACCAAGTCATCTATACATTTACCAGGAACATTATAAATGCTTTCTAACTTCAGCAAGAGAGAACCGATTACTTTCAGAAACACGCTTGTATCGCCTTCAAAATCCAAATCTACAGAAGTATCCAACTCCACATCATTAACTGATTCCAGTAATGCAAATTGGCTGCCATGCTGTTGAACACTGGTAGAAATAGGAAGTTTTACAATAACATCAGCTTTTAAGTCATTACATGAGTAGGATTGGTGCTTTCCGCTTTTGTGTGTAGCATAAGTCCCATATATGTTCAGACATCAAACACACACTCTATTGTTTCTAAACTTTTCAGATGAAAGCTTTCACATCTTTCTGATTTTCAGTTTCCTCTCATTTGTGAGCTCTATACAAGTGTGTACGTAAACCACCCCAAGTTTTAAAAGAACATGGACAGTCCAAATGAATGCAGGGCAGAAAATGTCCACGACCTAAAAGTCTGTGTTTCAGGCGATAGTGTTTGAGAAGTCCCCCCGTTGATGATGCAACAGATGTACAAAGTTTACACTGCCATCCCATGAGCCGTTACCTTACAGAAGGATAAAAACCGAGGAGCCCCAGTGGCTAGTGTCCTGTGAAGCTCTGTCCTTCCAACGCCGACCTTGGTTCGACTATGGCCTGCTGTCCTTTGAGCATAAAATGTAAAAAAAAAAAAAAAAAAAAAGATTAAAACCTCTGTTGTCATAGAAAGTTGAGAGACTATAGTCAATATCCCTACAACACATTTGGAAAATAATGTCCTACTGATCGCTTTTAATATCCCTTATGCCTTATTATTATTATTTACAAAGAGCAACTTACCTCCCGTGTTTTCTTGATCAGTTGTTTTCGTATCTGAAATGCACATTTTTTAAATACTTAGCATGCATGACATAACTCTTGAACTTGGGATATGAACATTTTATAACAACCTAACACACAAGTCATGAATTGCATGCTTTTATATTCCAATTAATGAATACTGTTCCTGGAGGCCCATTTACCTTCTGCCTGAGCAATGCATGCTTTACTACTAGGAGTGAGATTATAGATCAGCACGACCAGGAATTCAAGACAGAGCCTGACCTGACGTTCAGGACAAAGAGAGAGAGACAAACACACAGACAATATGTTGACTGTTCTCAGCCATTTTCTAGACGTTTTTAATAATATTGTTTTGCTTAATGAATCGATTTTATTGTCTTCTGGACGATTTAGAGAAGTTTTTCACCTCACATTCATGTCAATAAAGCATATTTAATAAAAAAAAAAAAATAGAAAAAGAGACAGAGTAAAATAAAAATATATAGATAGCCTGGAAAGCACCCAAGAGGCTTAAATATTAGAGTAAACACTTTTTTTTGTCAACTTAAAAGGTACAAACACGTATTGTAATTAGGCTTGTGCACATCTACACGTGGAACCGTTCAGTAAACCTTAAATGGTTATGAACAATCAAAAAAAAAAAAAGTAATATGATTTCAATGTGTTTTGGAGATATGGGTTTATTCATTTATCATAAAAATTACAAAATATTTAGAGATGTTAAAAAACAAAGTCTGCTCTGTGTTTATCAGCGCTGCAGAGACACACATGCCCGCGACATATTGTCTGTGTGTTTGTCTCTCTCTCTTTGTCACAAATTAGGTGTAATGAATATCGTCGACATGATAGTAATGCTGGTCGGTTGATATTTCATGCTCAGGTGTTGCTTCTGTAACTGAGGTGTATGTAAAAATATTATTGTGTTGAAAGTTACTCACTTAGATGTTTTGTCCAGGTCCTGTCGGTAGACTTCGGTCAGAATGAACTTCGCCGTGCCCGCCACAGTCTAGTCCCAGCCGTTGCGGTTTGAACCGGACCGAATGATGTTGTCACTTCCGCCAGCATACTTATTTTTTTTAAGTAGATTAGTCAAATTACAAATAATATTAAGTTAAATTGTGTAATAATTGTAGTTCGACACAAAGATTGCTATTCATAGTTATTCTCAAAAATATCGATGAAACATACAGTAATTATTATAAAATATTTAAACAATGTAATCTGTCAGTCAAGTCATACTTTTTTTTTAATTAAATAAATTTCTACTTATATAGTTATTACTTATTATACTATAAACTTAACTTTATATATTTACATTTCACACAAAGATTTCTGTTTCATTTTTACTCATGAATTTTGATATAGTTAACCCACTCCTCCACTTTAACAGCCCCACCTAAGTCACTGGCTCTGTCTACCTTCTCAATGGTCTCGTTGATGTGTGCTTTGAAAAGCATCAACGCTTCTTTTCTGGCTAGCGTGTGACTGTCGGATCTTGTTTCTAAATCACCGCTGAGGTCCATGATTGGTTGCCTTGAGTATCTACATGTGACCTCACTTTGCTCACAGTAAAGCTCTACAGACTTCAGTGCATTCTTCAAATCTTCCAGAGCTTGGTTGATGCATTTTGGATCCTGATGACCGTTCTGATGAGCTAAAGATGCGAAAGCTCGGTTGTAATATGCAACTGCCGCCCAACATCGATCCATCTCGATGGCCTTTGTGTACAACTGGATACACTCCGCAAGACGTCCCTTTTCACGCAGCTCATTTCCAGCCGCAGTGTAGTAGTGCAGATTTGACAAAGGTGATTCTCCCTGGTTGAGCTTTTGCCTGGCTTTTTCCAGGTCTTGCTTTAATTTGTCTTTTAGGTCTGTAATGGACTCTTTCGACTTGAAGTTTGTGAGTAGCCACATTCCCCAGAATTCATTCAGTGCAGACACATATGAGTCTTCTGGTTTGTTGTTCTGGCTTTTGTACACTTCTTCAAGTATCCCCAGATACTGGTTGAAGAGCTCGTCCTTCTTCCTTGTCCGTGGGATGCCGTTCTCCAAGAAGCTAGCTAGTTCTTCAGCTACTGAGTCATCTCTCGTCTTTTTAAATGTCTTCATTACTGAATTGGAGTTTTCAGATAATAAATCTGACAGCATTCTCAGCAGCCTCAATAAATTACCCCCAAGCATTGTAGTGGCATCTGTTATAATCTCCAGTAAAGACTCATGTTTCTTTGTCAAAAAGAGCAACTGGAGTGGTTCTGACAGATGGTTGGAGCAGACGATGAGTTGAGCAGATCCAGGAGCTCCTTGTCGAGCTGTTCGGCCAAATGCCTGGGCCTCAACACGGGCATTTTTTGGCAGGAAGGTCTGCACGACAAACAGTCCTCCAGCTGTATTTACCGGTTCAGAGACTTTAAGATCTGTTCCCCGACCTGCAAGATTAGTTGCTATGATGACTTCTCCTGCTTCGAGCATCTGAGCAAAAATGGCAGTGTTGTCCATGTTGTTGCTTATATAAAGCTTTTTTTTACGGACTTTGTCTCCTAGGGCATGGTGGAGAACCTTTGCACGACTGATGGTCTCACAGATGACCAAGACCGCTCTCTGACCCCTGAATGGTGTAAGACTGGTTTGTGTAGTGACAACATCACAGATTTTCTCAATCCATTCCTTATCATTTTCTACAATCACTCCGTCAACCTCAAACAGCTTCCTGCGCTTGAATGACGGTATCTGACAGGTCTGGATTCCTTTGTAGATTTCCTGCAAGGTTTCAGTTTCTGTTTGTTGGCCAAGAGTCCCGGAGATTCCATAGATCTGATCTCCGTACTTTTGAAACATGCCGACGTTGGACATGTAGTTTGTGATGGCTGTCATGTTGCTCAGCTTGGACCCGTGTTTCATCTCAAGAAACAGATGAAGCCCATCCGTCCATTTCATGTTGTTTTGAACGACACCTGTGCAGCTGTAGTCGACAGGCACTACCCCATGTCCCTCAATAACATACTCATGATCTGCTGACATGGTTTGGGCAAAGAATGCATTTTTAATCCAAACCTCGAGCTTAGATTCGACCAAATCTGAGAGGAAGCCTGGAACATAGCAAATACCTTTATCTTGGCTCAGATCACATGGTGTATAACGTACAGCATGCTTTATTTCTTCGGCAACTTTCTGTAAAATGCTACTCCTTACAGATGTTTCTCTACCAATCTTACTGTACCGATTAACAGTGGTCCAAATGAATGCCAAGAGTGGACTGAGGTGTTGCAAAGCAGGCATCTTACTACTTATATAGACCACATGAAGACCTTTATCTAGCATCAAAGAATCTACTTCATCCACGATTGCGCATTCAAATTTCCGTTGCCCAAATATGTCCTTCCTTTGAAAGTTGTGCCTAAGCCAGTCTCCGGCAAAGTCCTCCACTGTACCATAAACAACCTGACACTCAAAGCACTTTTTTAACGCTTCCTCTGATTTGTTGCAGTTGCAGCCGACACTGACTTTCAATTCCTCATAAAAAACTTTCCAGTCATTTAAATCTCTTTCTGCAAGAACTGAAGAGCTGGACATGATGTCTACCTTTTCCCCTCTCAGGGCTCGAAAAGCAGCAAACATCGCCACGATACACGACTTTCCCTCTCCAGTGCCAACCTGAATTAACCTCCCTGTTTTTGAAAGAGCCATTATACACCAGCTCACCATCTGTGTCAGTCTGGGTTTGAATTTCGTCTTTTCTGCTGCCTGACAGAGCTTCAGCAGATCTTTTTTCAAGCCAGTCTGCTGCAACGCATACTTGCCTAAGGTAAGATTGTGATAAACTGATGATACAATGTCTTCCACGTCACATAAAAGCTTTTTGTCAATTTGGTTCAACTTTTGCTGGCGGATTTCCTGAAGAATTTCTTTCAGTGTTTTTTCTTCGTCCTTTGTGAGACATTTTTTGAGTTCTTCTTCTGTTACATTTTGTCTCGAACCAGTTCAATTAGCGTCTTTTCCTTTCGCCAAGTGGGAGTGATGTAGTTACTCTCGATGCAGTGCAACATTTCCATCATCCATGAGTGGAGATGAGAGCGGTCATTCGTTGTCGACCGAAATCGCTTCAAGAGGGCATCGAACAACTCAGAAGCATCCATTGGTGTCCATCCGATGTTTTTAACCAGCCCTCTAAGCTTGTTAAACAATGCTTCTCATCATTATTTTGGGTCAACAAACCAGTGAGTAGAGTTCTTAACATGCCACCCAAATCTTCAGTATCTGTGTCAGATTCATCCATTTTGCAGACAAGTTGTCAAATCTGGTAAATATTTAAAAAAAGATTAAGACATTAGATTGTTTCTTTCAACACAGACACAAATTCTATACAAACAGAGAGCTGCAATCCAGTCCAAATCTGACTATAATGTCTACTGGCTTCTCCAGTAAAATCTAAAAAACCTATGGACTCCACCCCCAGACTAGAGGAAAACTTTTGCGCAGGTCTGCCATTTTTATTCTCGTTACAGAGGAGTGATGTCTACTGGGAAAACTTGGGGGGGGGGGGTCATTGCATTTAAAGAGACACACACACCAAAACGGAGCGTTCTGAGAGAGCTGGTTTATACAGGGTCACAAACCTCCTCTGGTGCTTGATTCATGTTATATTTTGACCAAAGCACAGCACAGATGTTTCATTTAGACCACAGGGGGACTGTTTGAAAAGGTTGAGAAGGTGCAAGACAGAGCGCTACCGCAGGTCGTTCATCCCATCTGCCGTCAGACTGTTTAATCAGACTCTTTAACAACATCATCACCTCATGCTACACACTGTTTTTTTTAAGAACAAGTTACTGTGTAATTTTACATTTACATTTTTTTTTACGTTATTGTATTTTTTTTACGTTATTGTATTTTTTTATTTAAATGATGTAAATATGTTTGATCTGTTTTTTTAACTTCTATTTTTATTTTTTCAAGTATATTCCCGTCCCCTGTTTTCTGGAGCTGCTGTAATGCACAAATTTCCCCCACGGGGGATCAATAAAGTTTATCTTTATCTTTATCTTTATCTTTATCTTTATCATATGTCCTCTTTCACCAAAAACATCAATTTTTTATGCACTGGTCAATTTTGAGATTTTGGGCTAATTCACTCCCTGAACATGTAATGTTTCTAACTACCATAAAGAAAATATCCAAATTATACATTTATGTGTATATTTTAATACATTTTGTCTGAAAGTTAGCATTCTAATGTGACGTGCAGTATAACGTCCGAATTGTGCCGGCGTGTGTGTGTGTGTGTGTGTGTGTGTGTGTGTGTGTGTGTGTGTGTGAGAGAGAGAGAACCGCAGGAGCGTGAAAACATACGCGACTTCAAGATGAGTCCATGTCGCGGTGTTGAACTCCTATAAATAACAGAATATATATATAGCCTATATCTATCATCTGCTTACTGCTGATGCTGTGCTGGACTCTTAGAAATAACGAAATATCGAGTGGAACTTTTCAAAATGGGACTTCATTTTTAAGTCTGTTGATAGTATTTTCTGATTTATGGAGTGATAAAAAGAGATATCCAAAATCCCCTCTGTAAATACCTGTGTCTTTAATATGTCAACAAAATGAAAAAATATTCTTGAACCTGGGTTTAGCGCATATTTAATTAGATAATGCATTATTTGCAAATTTAAACATAACAGTTCAGAAAACTTGTAATATTAAACAATATTTGTCTTGATATAAGTAATAAACTGGAGAAGTTCCATGTTGATTTCTGTGAGTTAATTTTTTTTACCCTATTCACTTGTAGTGTCTCGCCTTAAAGGCAGAAATGTGTCTTTGATTTAAGTGTGCCATTTAAAACACAAGATAATACATTCAAACAAGGTCGCAAATTAAAAACTACATTTAATTAAAATAAGAATAAAAAAACAGACCCAGTAGAGCTACATGGCAAAGCAAGGCAGCAGATTCTCAAAGTACATATTGAAGGGGTGTGAATTAATTAATACATAAATAATAATAACATAAAGAGCTTTGAGGCATAATGAGGTAGTGGGCTGACTTTAAACTTGCCTTACTGATTAAAATATTCAATAAAAACTGGGAAAACAATATTTAAAAAAAGTTTTCCTTTCCACGGGGGACTCTGTATCTTTGACCCAAAGGTAAGGGAAACACATGTTCAGAAGTTTTCATTCTTACTTTATATCTAGCTCTTTTTGTTCGTATAAATCCAGCAAATTTCACCAAAGTGCGACACAGTCTCGATACAAATATACATGAAATAAACAATCCATAGATGTTATGGAAGTTTGAAACTCACCTGTTAACAAGATGAAAAAGTGCTGAGTGCTGACTGTTTCAAGGAAACCTGAGACGATATGCTTCACGAAAAATGAAATTAAAGTTATTTTATGTGCATTTGGTTTTGTTTCTGTTTCGACAGCTTGCTCACATACTTGCCCGAGGGGAATTCCTACTGTGTTTTAGATTTACATGTGACTTCTCGTAAACGGAGTTAGTTATTGTAATAATCAGCGCCGCCCCCTCCCACACGCTGTGCGTAGGGTCCCACGATCCATGGGGGGCCCATTCTGCGCAAGGGGACGCATTCGCTGCAAATGCGCAAAGGATGCGCATCGCTGCCGTGAGGCGCGCGTAGAGCACCAAGTCAAGCCCTAATATGTACAGTCTATGGTCAAGGCCGAGGCAGGAGAGAAAAAAAAAAAGAGACGAGTAATCTGACACTGCACGCGTTGCCGCAATGATTGACATCACGCAGCATCTGAGTTGTGTGACTCACTAAATATATGACAACTAAAATATGTTTAATGATTGACCCTGGTTTGTTTTTATATCGTATGTGACTGATCTTTCCCATCAGGTTGAAGTGGAGGAAGAGCACTGAACTTCAAGCTTTAAAGACATCAGGTAAGAAGCCATTTCTAAACTTTTCATATAATTTCCTGTGAACCCACAGCCTTCTGTCTGCCCCAGCAGTACAGTGATAATCTTTAATCATCTACTGCATTATAACATGAGGGACATGTTCCGCTGTGGTGACAAAAAGTTTCATATTGGTGAGGGCTGTTTGTTGAAACTGTAGTTCGTGGTGTGATGAACTGCCTTACAAACATGCATGTCTTTGTTCAACAGAACATTAGAAAATAGTTTCAAGTATACAGTGCAAGCAGTTTTTCACATGGCCATTATTTGAACTAATCTTAGCTTGTTTTCATATCATTTGTGCCCATTAAGGGAGAGCTGCTGAAGGCATTTCATCATCCCCCAGTCACCTGACTCACCAGATATCAACCTTTGTATTGGTGAGTATGATTTGTTGTTAAATTAAAATAAACATAAGCATTTGATTATGATGAACTGGAATAATCTAAATGATGTCATATTGCTAATTGAATCTATTTCCCTTGGATCAAACTGAATATTAAGTAAAACTACAAATAATCTATTTTCAGTGTTACAGTTAAAAAGTGTTCATCAATATACTTTTATGTTTCTGTAGGTCTGCAGTTGTTTGCTGAGTTCCATTGCATCACAAATATGAACCTTCACAACACATTCTACAGCCAGCTGGACCGACACACACTGCAACAGCATACAGGCAGAAGGCCTCAGCGACATAAGAGACAGGCGCTGCAGGAGCATTTATAAGCTGTAGGTAAATTACATACAGAAGAATAATCATTTTAACCTGCAGCTAAGGTTAATAATGATCATTTATTCTTATAGTCATCATGAGAATTTAAAAAGGAATTTCTTTTTTGGCCTAGGAACAGCATGATGTACACAAGAAGCACTCTGGCTCTTCATACCCTCCCATTGTACCGACAAGGGGATCTTCAAGACCGGCAAGGTATGTACTCAGTGCAATTATGAAAACATCAATGACTAGTGTAAACTGTTTTTGTAAAGTAAAATGTGACTTCCTGCATTTAACAGACTTTAATAGAAGAAGAGATGGGTTTAGATTTTTCTATAGTCTAAATATAAGGCTTGCATGTGTTAATCACAGTGAAAGAGTATAAGGACTGTTACTGTTCTTCCACTCCATGAGGCATACTGTATTAGGCCAGGTCCAACTGTAAGACATTTTCAATCCTTGTTGAACAGAAGAAAATCTTCCTGTAGTTAGGCTGAAGCTAAAATGGTGCTTCAGCAGTCAGAGGTAAAAAAAAAAAAAAACAAGAATTAGTTGATTTTCTTTTTTTTGTGGCAGGAAGAGGAAGCGTGATTATCTTTGATGTGATTTGGCTAAGTCTGAGTTCTAGAGGCCTCGTAATAATAATGGACTTTAGGTTGCATTTTAAAACAGAATTAGGAGTTTGAATTTTGTCCTTCCATCCTTACAGTGGCTCACATTCAGCAGGTATTATAGAGACAGTATAGACAGAGAACAAAGTGTGACCGCCAGTAACTGCCAACATGCATATTTACATGTGAGTGTTGTGTCAAGACAGAAACATATTTACTGATGCTTTTAATTGTGTGAGGAGCAAGAGCCTACTGTGCAGGACTTGTAATCTTTACTGGGATTATCTCCATCTTTTTTTCCTTTTATTTTTGCAGTGGGACCATGAGCCAAACTTTGAAGACACCCCTGTAGCTCTCCTCTATGTGGTCACTGACAGCTCCACTGGTACCATCCGGTTCAACCCTGACAGCATTTCTGATGTGATTGAACCTTGATGTGACGGGTCTCCCCAGGTTGGATGATGCACATTTTCATAATGTTGGTTTTTATCTGAAGGTAATCATTTTATAAGGTTCCTTATCTACCTCAGCACATGATACGTGTGATTCATTATGTTAAATCATTGGATCTTTATTTGCTTTTGATTCCACAAAAGTTATTTTCTCATATTTTGTTTAAATGTATTGGTTATTTCTAATAATATGTCCCTGCACTCTGCTGGTTCATAGTTAGTTGACATTTACAGTTTAAAAACATTTAAGGGAACATAAAATGTAAATGTTGTAATGAAATAGTGCATGGATGTAATTTTCTGCAGTAGGAAAATTCACATTCAGAAATCATAAAAACAAAACGCTGAACATCATCAAACTTTCTTGAATCCAACTTTTATTGTAGATCAGATGTGTTTTTTTTGTAAATAAAATTGTGTATCAACGTGTTTTATGTGGAGGAAAACAGACCGAGTAGCCAAGCCCTGAGGATCACCGTGTCACCTGTTTTGAAAGTTGTTTTTTTTGCACTGTCATCTCTGTGACTGATGGCTCTGTTTGTTAAAGTGTACAGAGCAGAAGGAATCTGCACTTGGCAAAGCATCAGAACAGAAATGGAACAACTTCTTTCCAGTGATCAGATTAGTGTTTCCATCAAGCCTAGAGCAAGAGTCTTTAAATACAAACAGAGGGAGTTAAAGAGTTAACGAAATATAACCAATATCTCAAATATATATATGACTTCTGGAAAGGTGATGTTGAACCTGGGAATGATCAAAGACGAAGTAGTTCAGACTGCAGCATTAGACAGCAATTAACGAGTTAATGCCTAATTAAGCTGTTACATCATTATGTAAGAGTGCTTGAGAAGTGGAATCAAAGCGCGTCTTCATCTGTGTGTATTTTTAATTCAGTTTTTGATGATTTCCTGTTTCCTGATCTACGGTGGCTGGGAAGTGCAAAAACAAAATCAGTGTGACACACAAATTTACATTTTCTAAAACAAAATTACAAAACCAAAACCCTTTCAACAAGGCCAAAACAAATGTACATTTTATAAATACAATTTCCAAGCAGTGAAACCATTTTATCTGTCCCCAAAACAAATATACAAACAACAGAATCTTGAGGGAAAGGGAGTGTATATCAGATATGCACCCCCGGATCATTTACTGCATTTTGATACGTTCTCTTTCCGTCAAGCTTCTGTCGTTTGTGAATCTTTTTTTTTTTTTGAGTTAGCATGTACTTTTGCTCGAGCACATGACCTCAACCATGAATATGATTTTTGCTTAAGTCAGCAAATAGAGATGGGAATTGGAAAATGGTGGATTGGTGGATTGGTGGATCCAACACTACTGCATGATGTCATCAAACATCATCTTTTGTCAGTGCTTTGATTGAATGATGGTTGTGTTTTGGCTCTGTTTTTTTGTGTATCTTTTGTTGAGTTTTATGTATTTTAAAGGCCCATCTAGGGACGGACATTGCAAATTAGCTGAGGTAATAAATGCTACAGTGTGCAGCATCTTGCTCCATATTAGTCTCGATACAAATATACATGAAATAAACAATCCATAGATGTAAAACTTAAGTATCAGGGTTTACCTTGATGACTTGGCATATTTGTAGTGGCTGATGCATTACTGTAATGGTTTGTTTTGTTTGTGTGTGTGTGTATGACTGTATGTATGTGTGTTTGTGTTTGGTCACTCAGTTAGCTAAAGGGCTGGGGTGACGGTTTGTATATGTAGTTGTATAAAAGGTGCTGTGTTAATAAAGTTCATTGTAAATAACATGTGAATGACAGACGTCAGCTGTCCAATCACATTAGAAGAAAAAACCATTAGAACAATACTAATCCACTGCTAATGAAAGTGGGAGTGTCTGCGGCACAGAGAGCTGTGCCCAGTGGAAAACGTGAGATAAACCAAATAGAGAGAAGCCTCGGATCACCTGTTTGGTGAAACTTTAAGGACTTCCATTCACCTCCATTAAGCCAAGAAGTATACATATTCAAACAGAAGTAGACTAGTACGATGTTGAACCAATTTTTAAGGGATATTGACAGACTACCAGGTGCATTGTGCATTCTCTAGTTACTGAATGTTAACATGGTTAAGAAGACTTTAACATGTTGCTATTTGAGCTGAGCGTCATTAAGTTTTCCTTTTGTTACCACTAGGTGGAGTGCAACAGCAAAATGGACCCAACAACAACCTCATTCTTAAAGGTAACCAACCGTCATGTCAATCTCTTCTTTTGAAATATTTATCAATCTTTCCATACTTTATTATTATTATTTTTTTAATTCACATCCCTTGACTTCCTCTGTCCTTCCTTCACAGATGGCGGATGCCGGTGGTCTCCCTCAGCTGACTCAGGTAACAAAAAACTAGCAGTTTCCTTCCGAGATTTGAAACACAGATGATAAAACAGGCATGACTTTGACATACCTGTTAAAATCAACTATCAAAATAAAGGCCTTCAAGACAAAAAAAAAACAATGCAATACAATAATTTGTTGTGCACAAACATGAGCCAAAATGTCACCTATCAACACAAATATTGAATATTTAGCAGAAGTAAGAAATACTTATAAGGCCTTTTTCAAAATTCAGCAAAACCAACCAAACACACCACTGTTTAAATTTGACTGATCAAGCTGAACTTCTTGGTGTTACGCTCATTCAAATGATTATTAGTTATTATTATTACTATTCCTTGGCTGCTACATGGGTCATAATTATAAATATGTGATATGTGCAGAATGGAATACCTGTACATCAACCTGAATGTAAAAACTGAAAAATGTTTTCTTTGTATTTACAGCCAGCGAAACTGACCGAGGCTTTCAAGTACTTCATCCAGGGAATGGGCTACAGTAAGTTGTACAGGTTGCATACAAAGTGATACAAGATGTTATAAATACAGAGGGCATGACTGTACTCAATGTTTTGATTTGTTTTAAAGTATGTTGGTCCGTCTGTTGTGTGCAGGTCTTGCTCAAAAGTTTCATTTTGTCTGTCACTAATTTCAACAAATTCAATGAAAAAGTCAACAATTAATTAATTCAACTAACACGTATTTTCTGTGTAGCCAAATCCCAGTCCAGTTGAATCTTCTAGTGGTCCATTGGTTTCCCAAAACTATGGGAAACATAGTTCCCCTGTGACCTTTACTTTCACAAATCCATCTCCCCAGTGCTCCAAATATTCGCTTTGAAATGTAGATAGCCTCAAACTACTTCATTATAATTCATCCTTACTCTCTAGATGTGTGATAGCGTCTCTAATAAATCTAATCCTTTACTCTGTTTCTTTCCCTCCACAGTGGCTTCATCTTGCATGACCCGCCTGTCCCGCTCACGCACCACCTCCCTCTCCTCCTCTTACTCCATGGATGGGTCCCGCTCTCGCTCTCGCACCCTGTCCCAGGGCTCGCAGGGCGGTCAGATGCCGCCTAGCCCCTCCCAAATGATGGAGGTGTCCTGCTGAAGCAAAAAATAAATAAAAAATAGTAAGAGAGAGAGCGAGAAAGAGAAGAGGTGGAGGGCTGAAGGAAGGGAAAGATGAAGAAATGATAGTAACGCAGGAACAAGATGAATGGGTTACTTATTTGTCACTAAACAACTATCATCATTCCCCACACTAGCAGGAAAGGAAAACAGATGAGGAGAGGGAGGGAAACAAGACGAGTAGAAAGATTTCTGAGGAATATCTTCAGACTTTGCACAACACTGACATTAACTGATAGTAATAATCCTGAAAATGACAATGTTCTTGATGCTGATAATGTTCTCAATGATGATATTAAAGCTAATGATAATGATGATAATGTAACAGAAAAAAAACTGTAACACTTTTCTCTTTACTAAGCAATTTAAAAATGACATAGATGAAAAAAAAAAACACTATAGCAGATATAACAATGTGTGTCTACTACTTTTTAAGCTAGTTTTTACTGTGTAATTTCTTTTTTTTCTTTTAATCGGATTTTTAATTTTTCTTAACTGTAACCTGCCTCAGCAAGGGGGCCAAAGCTACCGGTTGGTTGACCTTTTTGTGTGGTAACAGCCAATGAGAGCCATTATAGTGACTACTTCCTCCTTGATGTTGCCAGGTTGTTTATGTCTTCCATTCGCCCCGTCTATAAGTGACTGTTTTGTTTTTTCCCGTTTGGTATGAGGAGTCGGGATGGAAGCCTTTTTTTTTTTTTCTAATTCTTCTTCTTTTGGACAGTTTGGGTAGTGCATGTCCGGTATGAGCCCATGTGAATATTGACTGGATAATATGTTTCTTTTATATTTTGGATTTGGGTGTGTATGCATGTACATGTGCTGCGTTGTTAGCTTGGTGTGTTTAGCTAACATGGAGGACTGAAGAAAAAGCACTATGTGAGACTGAGAGATTATGTGTGCTTTTAGCTAGCTAGCTAGTACCCTATGGTAAGCCATAGTCAAACTCTCCCAGTGTGTCCCAGTTCAGGGGCCCCTTCCCTTGATAGACCTAGCTTACTAAGGATCCAGTGTTCGTCGCCTGTGTAGACCGCTTGCAGAGGATTCCCCACTGGCTGTCCCTGCCTTTACCCTTTCATTTAAAATGTGTATTACTCGACCGCTTCAGATTCCGCCATCTCATTTGAATTGGCGTTCAATGAATCTCAGGATATGATGGGTCATGAAGGATGCGCAAGATGGATCCTTCATTAGCCGGGGTAAGAAGGATGATTTTGTTGTCCCACATTTGAAGGAGTCTTCGTAAAGGGACAGCACCCCTAAATTGGGACATGGCCTACAAATAGTGCTTCCAATACTGGTGGCAGTCTCGCACAGCGTGACCTAATATCCCTGTTCATGACCTACTCAACATGAAGCATTACATCCCTGAAAAATAAGTGGGAAAAAGTGACTGAAAAAGTGACTGAAAAATAAGTGGGTAAACTCTGTGTACCTGCTTATACCCTACACTACACCACTGTATACATATAACATATATATTCATTTGTATATGTTTTATGATTATATTTACATTATGTATTCATATATACTTCTGTTTTTATCTCTGCTCTGTAAGGTGACCTTGAGAGTTTTGAAAGGCGCCGTTAAATAAAATGTATTATTATTATTATTATAAATCCCTTTTAACCACACAGTGGCAGTATTGACATATTAACTTACCTCTCAGCATTATACTGGTCTCAATTTGATGCTTTCTTCATGCTCAAATGGTGGGAATTTGGTCTTACAATTAGATTTTTTTTCCCCTAAATATTTCAACAGAAATATGTATAGAATATGTATATGTGTAGAAATATATACTTCAAGTGGCAATAGTCAATGAAGATGGTTAAGATGGTAGCTTCATTTTAATTACACAAAGTGATTTTGAAATTTCATAAAAAAATCCACTTTTTTTAAATCAATAATTACAATGAAAATACACGTATTAGTGTTTTAGGTGCTTTTCCAAACATTAAAATGTCACATACAATATGAAAGAATAGTCATGATCACGACAATGCTTTCTCTCTGTCATTTGAAGGAATATAAATTATGGAGAAAAAAAAAAAGAATATGAATGATGAATTAACTAAAGAATCTCAAAACCAAAATGTAGAACAAAGAGGTAACAGAGAATATGGACCAAAAATAAAAGTTAACGTTGCTCAATGCAGAGATATAAGAGTACAATAAAAAAAAGATGTTTGCTAAATATATTTGATTAGAAATTGGTTATTTGAATCAACACCATCATTTATTATACATACCATGTTATATTTACCATAAAACGGAACAGGAATCTGTGCGGATACACATGTAAAATAAATACATGAATGCCAGGGTTTATTCTTCCTCTGAGTTTCAGTTCCTTTAGGATCACATGATTTATGAAAACAGATACATTTCCAGAAGTCTGATGAGGAAAGAAAGAGGTTAACTTAAAAACCCACAGAAAGCTGGAGCTTGGCCTTGTTTTTAAGTTCATTATAAAGTTTGTGGTTGACAACACACTTCCACAAATCCATTGTTTGCTGGGTTGGTTGGCTTGATTTTTTTTGCTGAAAATCTAAATGTCCTGCCATCTATCAGGAGTTTGAAAATATTTGCCTTTTTAACTTTGAGAAAAACCCACCCAGAGAGAACAGTGCGTCTAAAGTATAGATATGAGTCAGGCCCAGAGATTCAAGACGCCTGAGTTCATGGAAAATGTCAAAGGAAGGATGACTGAGGAGCTGTTGAATCTTCAGAGGGTCTCTGGAGCGGATTTGAGTCAGTGATCCGGTTACGATTATTAACCAGGGCAGAGAATGGACAAGTGGAACCAGGAAGTAGAGTAGACTCTCCTCCACTTTAACAGCCCCACCTAAGTCACTGGCTCTGTCTACCTTCTTGATGGCCTCGTAGATGTGTGCTTTGAAAAGCATCAACACTTTTTTCCTGGCTAGCATGTGGCTGTCGGATCTTGCTTTTAAATCACCGCTGAGGTCCATGATTGGTTGCTTTGAGTATCTACACGTGACCTCACTTTGCTCACAGTAAAGCTCTACAGACTTCAGCGCATTCTTCAAATCTTCCAGAGCTTGGTTGATGCATTTTGGATCCTGATGACCGTTCTGTCGAGCTAAAAGTGCGAAAGCTCGGTTGTAATATGCAACTGCCGCCCAACATCGATCCGTCTCGATGGCCTTTGTGTACAACTGGATACATTCCGCAAGACGTCCCTTTTCACGCAGCTCATTTCCAGCCGCAGTGTAGTGGTGCAGGTTTGACAAAGGTGATTCTCCCTGGTTGAGCTTTTGCCTGGCTTTTTCCAGGTCTTGCTTTAATTTTTCTCTTGGGTCTGTAATGGACTCTTTCGACTTGAAGTTTGTGAGTAGCCACATTCCCCAGAATTCATTCAGTGCAGACACATATGAGTCTTCTGGTTTGTTGTTCTGGCTTTTGTACACTTCTTCAAGTATCCCCAGATACTGGTTGAAGAGCTCTTCCTTCTTCCTTATCTGTGGGATGTCGTTCTCCAAGAAGCTAGCTAGTTCTTCAGCTACTGAGTCATCTCTCATCTTTTTAACTGTCTTCATTACTGAATTGGAGTTTTCAGACAAAATATCGGACAGCATTGAAGACATACTTTGACCACCACCAATACCGCTTTGATTGAATCTTAAAAGCCTTGATGAATTACCCTCAAGCATTGTAGTGGCATCTCTTATATTCCTCAGTAAAGACTCAAGTTTCTTTGTCAAAAAGAGCAACTGGAATGGTTCTGACAGATGGTTGGAGCAGACGATGAGTTGAGCAGATCCAGGAGCTCCTTGTCGAGCTGTGCGGCCAAATGCCTGGGCCTCAACACGGGCATTTTTTGGCAGGAAGGTCTGCACGACAAACAGTCCTCCAGCTGTATTTACCGGTTCAGAGACCTTAAGATCTGTTCCCCGACCTGCAAGATTAGTTGCTATGATGACTTCTCCTGCTTCAAGCTTATGAGCAAAAATGGCAGTGTTGTCCATGTTGTTGCTTATATAAAGCTCTTTGTTTGGGACTTTGTCTCCTAGGGCATGGTGGAGAACCTTTGCACGACTGATGGTCTCACAGATGACCAAGACCGCTCTCTGACCCCTGAATGGTGTAGGACTGGTTTGTGTAGTGACAACATCACAGATTTTCTCAATCCATTCGTTATCATTTTCTACAATCACTCCGTCAACCTCAAACAGCTTTCTGTGCTTGAATGACGGTATCTGACAGGTCTGGATTCCTTTGTAGATTTCCTGCAAGGTTTCAGTTTCTGTTTGTTGGCCAAGAGTCCCGGAGATTCCAAAGATCTGATCTCCGTACTTTTGAAGCATGCCGACGTTGGACATGTAGTTTGTGATGGCTGTCATGTCGCTCAGCTTGGACCCGTGTTTCATCTCAAGAAACTGTGAAGCCCATCCGTCCATTTCATGTTGTTTTCAACGACACCTGTGCAGCTGTAGTCGACAGGCACTACCCCATGTCCCTCAATAACATACTCATGATCTGTTGACATGGTTTGGGCAAAGAATGCATTTTCAATCCAAACCTCAAGCTTTGATTCGACCAAATCTGAGAGGAAGCCTGGAACATAGCAAATACCTTTATCTTGGCTCAGATCACATGGTGTATAAAGTACAGAATGCTTTATTTCTTCTTCTGCAACTTTCCGTAAAATGCTACTCCTTACAGATGTTTCTCTACCTATCTTAATGTACCGATTAACAGTGGTCCAAATGAATGCCAAGAGTGGACTGAGGTGTTGCAAAGCAGGCATCTCACTACTTAGATAGACCACATGAAGACCTTTATCTAGCATCAAAGAATCTACTTCATCCACGATTGCGCATTCAAATTTCCGTTGCCCAAATATGTCCTTCCTTTGAAAGTTGTGCCTAAGCCAGTCTCCGGCAAAGTCCTCCACTGTGCCATAAACAACCTGACACTCAAAGCACTTTTTTAAAGCTTCCTCTGATTTGTTGCAGTTGCAGCCGACACTGACTTTCAATACCTCATAAAAAACTTTCCATTCATTTAAATCTCTTTCTGCAAGAACTGAAGAGCTGGACATGATGTCTACCTTTTCCCCTCTCAGGGCTCGAAAAGCAGCAAACATCGCCACGATACACGACTTTCCCTCTCCAGTGCCGACCTGAATTAGCCGCCCTCTTTCTGAAAGAGCCATTATACACCAGCTCACCATCTGTGTCAGTCTGGGTTTGAATTTCGTCTTTTCTGCTGCCTGACAGAGCTTCAGCAGATCTTTTTTCAAGCCAGTCTGCTGCGACGCAAACTTGCCTAAGGTAAGATTGTGATAAACTGATGATACAATGTCTTCCACGTCACATAAAAGCTTTTTGTCAATTTGGTTCAACTTTTGCTGGCGGATTTCCTGAAGAATTTCTTTCAGTGTTTTTTCTTCGTCCTTTGTGAGACATTTTTTGAGTTCTTCTTCTGTTACATTCTCGTCTCGAACCAGTTCAATTAGCGTCTTTTCCTTTCGCCAAGTGGGAGTGATGTAGTTACTCTCGATGCAGTGCAACATTTCCATCATCCATGAGTGGAGATGAGAGCGGTCATTCGTTGTCGACCGAAATCGCTTCAAGAGGGCATCGAACAACTCAGAAGCATCCATTGGTGTCCATCCGATGTTTTTAACCAGCCCTCTAAGCTTGTTAAACAGATGCTTCTCATCATTATTTTGGGTCAACAAACCAGTGAGTAGAGTTCTTAACATGCCACCCAAATCTTCAGTATCTGTGTCAGATTCATCCATTTTGCAGACAAGTTGTCAAATCTGGTAAATATTTAAAAAAAGATTAAGACATTAGATTGTTTCTTTCAACACAGACACAAATTCTATACAAACAGAGAGCTGCAATCCAGTCCAAATCTGACTATAATGTCTACTGGCTGCTCCAGTAAAATCTAAAAAACCGATGGACTCCACCCCCAGACTAGAGGAAAACTTTTGCGCAGGTCTGCCATTTTTATTCTCGTTACAGAGGAGTGATGTCTACTGGGAAAACTTGGGGGGGGGGGGTCATTGCATTTAAAGAGACACACACACCAAAACGGAGCGTTCTGAGAGAGCTGGTTTATACAGGGTCACAAACCTCCTCTGGTGCTTGATTCATGTTATATTTTGACCAAAGCACAGCACAGATGTTTCATTTAGACCACAGGGGGACTGTTTGAAAAGGTTGAGAAGGTGCAAGACAGAGCGCTACCGCAGGTCGTTCATCCCATCTGCCGTCAGACTGTTTAATCAGACTCTTTAACAACATCATCACCTCATGCTACACACTGTTTTTTTTAAGAACAAGTTACTGTGTAATTTTACATTTACATTATTGTAATTTTTTTACGTTATTGTATTTTTTTTACGTTATTGTATTTTTTTATTTAAATGATGTAAATATGTTTGATCTGTTTTTTTAACTTCTATTTTTATTTTTTCAAGTATATTCCCGTCCCCTGTTTTCTGGAGCTGCTGTAATGCACAAATTTCCCCCACGGGGGATCAATAAAGTTTATCTTTATCTTTATCTTTATCTTTATCTTTATCATATGTCCTCTTTCACCAAAAACATCAATTTTTTATGCACTGGTCAATTTTGAGATTTTGGGCTAATTCACTCCCTGAACATGTAATGTTTCTAACTACCATAAAGAAAATATCCAAATTATACATTTATGTGTATATTTTAATACATTTTGTCTGAAAGTTAGCATTCTAATGTGACGTGCAGTATAACGTCCGAATTGTGCCGGCGTGTGTGTGTGTGTGTGTGTGTGTGTGTGTGTGTGTGTGTGTGTGTGTGTGTGTGAGAGAGAGAGAACCGCAGGAGCGTGAAAACATACGCGACTTCAAGATGAGTCCATGTCGCGGTGTTGAACTCCTATAAATAACAGAATATATATATAGCCTATATCTATCATCTGCTTACTGCTGATGCTGTGCTGGACTCTTAGAAATAACGAAATATCGAGTGGAACTTTTCAAAATGGGACTTCATTTTTAAGTCTGTTGATAGTATTTTCTGATTTATGGAGTGATAAAAAGAGATATCCAAAATCCCCTCTGTAAATACCTGTGTCTTTAATATGTCAACAAAATGAAAAAATATTCTTGAACCTGGGTTTAGCGCATATTTAATTAGATAATGCATTATTTGCAAATTTAAACATAACAGTTCAGAAAACTTGTAATATTAAACAATATTTGTCTTGATATAAGTAATAAACTGGAGAAGTTCCATGTTGATTTCTGTGAGTTAATTTTTTTTACCCTATTCACTTGTAGTGTCTCGCCTTAAAGGCAGAAATGTGTCTTTGATTTAAGTGTGCCATTTAAAACACAAGATAATACATTCAAACAAGGTCGCAAATTAAAAACTACATTTAATTAAAATAAGAATAAAAAAACAGACCCAGTAGAGCTACATGGCAAAGCAAGGCAGCAGATTCTCAAAGTACATATTGAAGGGGTGTGAATTAATTAATACATAAATAATAATAACATAAAGAGCTTTGAGGCATAATGAGGTAGTGGGCTGACTTTAAACTTGCCTTACTGATTAAAATATTCAATAAAAACTGGGAAAACAATATTTAAAAAAAGTTTTCCTTTCCACGGGGGACTCTGTATCTTTGACCCAAAGGTAAGGGAAACACATGTTCAGAAGTTTTCATTCTTACTTTATATCTAGCTCTTTTTGTTCGTATAAATCCAGCAAATTTCACCAAAGTGCGACACAGTCTCGATACAAATATACATGAAATAAACAATCCATAGATGTTATGGAAGTTTGAAACTCACCTGTTAACAAGATGAAAAAGTGCTGAGTGCTGACTGTTTCAAAGAAACCTGAGACGATATGCTTCACGAAAAATGAAATTAAAGTTATTTTATGTGCATTTGGTTTTGTTTCTGTTTCGACAGCTTGCTCACATACTTGCCCGAGGGGAATTCCTACTGTGTTTTAGATTTACATGTGACTTCTCGTAAACGGAGTTAGTTATTGTAATAATCAGCGCCGCCCCCTCCCTTCACGCAGAACACACGCTGTGCGTAGGGTCCCACGATCCATGGGGGGCCCATTCTGCGCAAGGGGACGCATTCTCTGCAAATGCGCAAAGGATGCGCATTAGAGCACCAAGTCAAGCCCTAATATGTACAGTCTATGGTCAAGGCCGAGGCAGGAGAGAAAAAAAAAAGAGACGAGTAATCTGACACTGCACGCGTTGCCGCAATGATTGACATCACGCAGCATCTGAGTTGTGTGACTCACTAAATATATGACAACTAAAATATGTTTAATGAGTGACCCTGGTTTGTTTTTATATCGTATGTGACTGATCTTTCCCATCAGGTTGAAGTGGAGGAAGAGCACTGAACTTCAAGCTTTAAAGACATCAGGTAAGAAGCCATTTCTAAACTTTTCATATTATTTCCTGTGAACCCACAGCCTTCTGTCTGCCCCAGCAGTACAGTGATAATCTTTAATCATCTACTGCATTATAACATGAGGGGCATGTTCCGCTGTGGTGACAAAAAGTTTCATATTGGTGAGGGCTGTTTGTTGAAACTGTAGTTCGTGGTGTGATGAACTGCCTTACAAACATGCATGTCTTTGTTCAACAGAACATTAGAAAATAGTTTCAAGTATACAGTGCAAGCAGTTTTTCACATGGCCATTATTTGAACTAATCTTAGCTTGTTTTCATATCATTTGTGCCCATTAAGGGAGAGCTGCTGAAGGCATTTCATCATCCCCCAGTCACCTGACTCACCAGATATCAACCTTTGTATTGGTGAGTATGATTTGTTGTTAAATTAAAATAAACATAAGCATTTGATTATGATGAACTGGAATAATCTAAATGATGTCATATTGCTAATTGAATCTATTTCCCTTGGATCAAACTGAATATTAAGTAAAACTACAAATAATCTATTTTCAGTGTTACAGTTAAAAAGTGTTCATCAATATACTTTTATGTTTCTGTAGGTCTGCAGTTGTTTGCTGAGTTCCATTGCATCACAAATATGAACCTTCACAACACATTCTACAGCCAGCTGGACCGACACACACTGCAACAGCATACAGGCAGAAGGCCTCAGCGACATAAGAGACAGGCGCTGCAGGAGCATTTATAAGCTGTAGGTAAATTACATACAGAAGAATAATCATTTTAACCTGCAGCTAAGGTTAATAATGATCATTTATTCTTATAGTCATCATGAGAATTTAAAAAGGAATTTCTTTTTTGGCCTAGGAACAGCATGATGTACACAAGAAGCACTCTGGCTCTTCATACCCTCCCATTGTACCGACAAGGGGATCTTCAAGACCGGCAAGGTATGTACTCAGTGCAATTATGAAAATATCAATGACTAGTGTAAACTGTTTTTGTAAAGTAAAATGTGACTTCCTGCATTTAACAGACTTTAATAGAAGAAGAGATGGGTTTAGATTTTTCTATAGTCTAAATATAAGGCTTGCATGTGTTAATCACAGTGAAAGAGTATAAGGACTGTTACTGTTCTTCCACTCCATGAGGCATACTGTATTAGGCCAGGTCCAACTGTAAGACATTTTCAATCCTTGTTGAACAGAAGAAAATCTTCCTGTAGTTAGGCTGAAGCTAAAATGGTGCTTCAGCAGTCAGAGGTAAAAAAAAAAAAAACAAGAATTAGTTGATTTTCTTTTTTTTGTGGCAGGAAGAGGAAGCGTGATTATCTTTGATGTGATTTGGCTAAGTCTGAGTTCTAGAGGCCTCGTAATAATAATGGACTTTAGGTTGCATTTTAAAACAGAATTAGGAGTTTGAATTTTGTCCTTCCATCCTTACAGTGGCTCACATTCAGCAGGTATTATAGAGACAGTATAGACAGAGAACAAAGTGTGACCGCCAGTAACTGCCAACATGCATATTTACATGTGAGTGTTGTGTCAAGACAGAAACATATTTACTGATGCTTTTAATTGTGTGAGGAGCAAGAGCCTACTGTGCAGGACTTGTAATCTTTACTGGGATTATCTCCATCTTTTTTTCCTTTTATTTTTGCAGTGGGACCATGAGCCAAACTTTGAAGACACCCCTGTAGCTCTCCTCTATGTGGTCACTGACAGCTCCACTGGTACCATCCGGTTCAACCCTGACAGCATTTCTGATGTGATTGAACCTTGATGTGACGGGTCTCCCCAGGTTGGATGATGCACATTTTCATAATGTTGGTTTTTATCTGAAGGTAATCATTTTATAAGGTTCCTTATCTACCTCAGCACATGATACGTGTGATTCATTATGTTAAATCATTGGATCTTTATTTGCTTTTGATTCCACAAAAGTTATTTTCTCATATTTTGTTTAAATGTATTGGTTATTTCTAATAATATGTCCCTGCACTCTGCTGGTTCATAGTTAGTTGACATTTACAGTTTAAAAACATTTAAGGGAACATAAAATGTAAATGTTGTAATGAAATAGTGCATGGATGTAATTTTCTGCAGTAGGAAAATTCACATTCAGAAATCATAAAAACAAAACGCTGAACATCATCAAACTTTCTTGAATCCAACTTTTATTGTAGATCAGATGTGTTTTTTTTGTAAATAAAATTGTGTATCAACGTGTTTTATGTGGAGGAAAACAGACCGAGTAGCCAAGCCCTGAGGATCACCGTGTCACCTGTTTTGAAAGTTGTTTTTTTTGCACTGTCATCTCTGTGACTGATGGCTCTGTTTGTTAAAGTGTACAGAGCAGAAGGAATCTGCACTTGGCAAAGCATCAGAACAGAAATGGAACAACTTCTTTCCAGTGATCAGATTAGTGTTTCCATCAAGCCTAGAGCAAGAGTCTTTAAATACAAACAGAGGGAGTTAAAGAGTTAACGAAATATAACCAATATCTCAAATATATATATGACTTCTGGAAAGGTGATGTTGAACCTGGGAATGATCAAAGACGAAGTAGTTCAGACTGCAGCATTAGACAGCAATTAACGAGTTAATGCCTAATTAAGCTGTTACATCATTATGTAAGAGTGCTTGAGAAGTGGAATCAAAGCGCGTCTTCATCTGTGTGTATTTTTAATTCAGTTTTTGATGATTTCCTGTTTCCTGATCTACGGTGGCTGGGAAGTGCAAAAACAAAATCAGTGTGACACACAAATTTACATTTTCTAAAACAAAATTACAAAACCAAAACCCTTTCAACAAGGCCAAAACAAATGTACATTTTATAAATACAATTTCCAAGCAGTGAAACCATTTTATCTGTCCCCAAAACAAATATACAAACAACAGAATCTTGAGGGAAAGGGAATGTATACCAGATATGCACCCCCGGATCATTTCCTGCATTTTGATACGTTCTCTTTCCGTCAAGCTTCTGTCGTTTGTGAATCTTTTTTTTTTTTTGAGTTAGCATGTACTTTTGCTCGAGCACATGACCTCAACCATGAATATGAATTTTTCTTAAGTCTGCAAATAGAGATGGGAATTGGAAAATGGTGGATTGGTGGATTGGTGGATCCAACACTACTGCATGATGTCATCAAACATCATCTTTTGTCAGTGCTTTGATTGAATGATGGTTGTGTTTTGGCTCTGTTTTTTTGTGTATCTTTTGTTGAGTTTTATGTATTTTAAAGGCCCATCTAGGGACGGACATTGCAAATTAGCTTAGGTAATAAATGCTGCAGTGTGCAGCATCTTGCTCCATATTAGTTTCGATACAAATATACATGAAATAAACAATCCATAGATGTAAAACTTAAGTACCAGGGTTTACCTTGATGACTTGGCATATTTGTAGTGGCTGATGCATTACTGTAATGGTTTGTTTTGTTTGTGTGTGTATGACTGTATGTATGTGTGTTTGTGTTTGGTCACTCAGTTAGCTAAAGGGCTGGGGTGACGGTTTGTATATGTAGTTGTATAAAAGGTGCTGTGTTAATAAAGTTCATTGTAAATAACATGTGAATGACAGACGTCAGCTGTCCAATCACATTAGAAGAAAAAACCATTAGAACAATACTAATCCACTGCTAATGAAAGTGGGAGTGTCTGCGGCACAGAGAGCTGTGCCCAGTGGAAAACGTGAGATAAACCAAATAGAGAGAAGCCTCGGATCACCTGTTTGGTGAAACTTTAAGGACTTCCATTCACCTCCATTAAGCCAAGAAGTATACATATTCAAACAGAAGTAGACTAGTACGATGTTGAACCAATTTTTAAGGGATATTGACAGACTACCAGGTGCATTGTGCATTCTCTAGTTACTGAATGTTAACATGGTTAAGAAGACTTTAACATGTTGCTATTTGAGCTGAGCGTCATTAAGTTTTCCTTTTGTTACCACTAGGTGGAGTGCAACAGCAAAATGGACCCAACAACAACCTCATTCCTAAAGGTAACCAACCGTCATGTCAATCTCTTCTTTTGAAATATTTATCAATCTTTCCATACTTTATTATTATTTTTTTTTAATTCACATCCCTTGACTTCCTCTGTCCTTCCTTCACAGATGGCGGATGCCGGTGGTCTCCCTCAGCTGACTCAGGTAACAAAAAACTAGCAGTTTCCTTCCGAGATTTGAAACACAGATGACAAAACAGGCATGACTTTGACATACCTGTTAAAATCAACTATCAAAATAAAGGCCTTCAAGACCAAAAAAACAATGCAATACAATAATTTGTTGTGCACAAACATGAGCCAAAATGTCACCTATCAACACAAATATTGAATATTTAGCAGAAGTAAGAAATACTTATAAGGCCTTTTTCAAAATTCAGCAAAACCAACCAAACACACCACTGTTTAAATTTGACTGATCAAGCTGAACTTCTTGGTGTTACGCTCATTCAAATGATTATTAGTTATTATTATTACTATTCCTTGGCTGCTACATGGGTCATAATTATAAATATGTGATATGTGCAGAATGGAATACCTGTACATCAACCTGAATGTAAAAACTGAAAAATGTTTTCTTTGTATTTACAGCCAGCGAAACTGACCGAGGCTTTCAAGTACTTCATCCAGGGAATGGGCTACAGTAAGTTGTACAGGTTGCATACAAAGTGATACAAGATGTTATAAATACAGAGGGCATGACTGTACTCAATGTTTTGATTTGTTTTAAAGTATGTTGGTCCGTCTGTTGTGTGCAGGTCTTGCTCAAAAGTTTCATTTTGTCTGTCACTAATTTCAACAAATTCAATGAAAAAGTCAACAATTAATTAATTCAACTAACACATATTTTCTGTGTAGCCAAATCCCAGTCCAGTTTAATCTTCTAGTGGTCCATTGGTTTCCCAAAACTATGGGAAAAATAGTTCCCCTGTGACCTTTACTTTCACAAATCCATCTCCCCAGTGCTCCAAATATTCGCTTTGAAATGTAGATAGCCTCAAACTACTTCATTATAATTCATCCTTTCTCTCTAGATGTGTGATAGCGTCTCTAATAAATCTAATCCTTTACTCTGTTTCTTTCCCTCCACAGTGGCTTCATCTTGCATGACCCGCCTGTCCCGCTCACGCACCACCTCCCTCTCCTCCTCTTACTCCATGGATGGGTCCCGCTCTCGCTCTCGCACCCTGTCCCAGGGCTCGCAGGGCGGTCAGATGCCGCCTAGCCCCTCCCAAACGATGGAGGTGTCCTGCTGAAGCAAAAAATATTTAAGAAATAGTAAAGAGAGAGAGAGCGAGAAAGAGAAGAGGTGGAGGGCTGAAGGAAGGGAAAGATGAAGAAATGATAGTAACGCAGGAACAAGATGAATGGGTTACTTATTTGTCACTAAACAACTATCATCATTCCCCACAATAGCAGGAAAGGAAAACAGATGAGGAGAGGGAGGGAAACAAGACGAGTAGAAAGATTTCTGAGGAATATCTTCAGACTTTGCACAACATACAAGTCCTCTCCTTTTCCTCACATTCCTTTTTCCAGCTGTAAACTATGGATTGGGCTGTTCTTAAAAAGAATCAACAAAGTATAGTCTAAAAGAGATTAATATAAAAAAAGGGGGGGGATGTGGGGAAATATTAGAAACCAGTCCTCTCTTCCTCCCTCTATTGGAGCAGCCAATAGAGCCCTTTAATTTAGATGAAGGAGGCCTATAGAGACCGCACATCTGACATTAACTGATAGTAATAATCCTGAAAATGACAATGTTCTTGATGCTGATAATGTTCTCAATGATGATATTAAAGCTAATGATGATGATGATGATAATGTAACAGAAAAAAAACTGTAACACTTTTCTCTTTACTAAGCAATTTAAAAATGACATAGATGAAAAAAAAAACACTATAGCAGATATAACAATGTGTGTCTACTACTTTTTAAGCTAGTTTTTACTGTGTAATTTCTTTTTTTTCTTTTAATCGGATTTTTAATTTTTCTTAACTGTAACCTGCCTCAGCAAGGGGGCCAAAGCTACCGGTTGGTTGACCTTTTTGTGTGGTAACAGCCAATGAGAGCCATTATAGTGACTACTTCCTCCTTGATGTTGCCAGGTTGTTTATGTCTTCCATTCGCCCCGTCTATAAGTGACTGTTTTGTTTTTTCCCGTTTGGTATGAGGAGTCGGGATGGAAGCCTTTTTTTTTTTTTTCTAATTCTTCTTCTTTTGGACAGTTTGGGTAGTGCATGTCCGGTATGAGCCCATGTGAATATTGACTGGATAATATGTTTCTTTTATATTTTGGATTTGGGTGTGTATGCATGCACATGTGCTGCGTTGTTAGCTTGGTGTGTTTAGCTAACATGGAGGACTGAAGAAAAAGCACTATGTGAGACTGAGAGATTATGTGTGCTTTTAGCTAGCTAGCTAGTACCCTATGGTAAGCCATAGTCAAACTCTCCCAGTGTGTCCCAGTTCAGGGGCCCCTTCCCTTGATAGACCTAGCTTACTAAGGATCCAGTGTTCGTCGCCTGTGTAGACCGCTTGCAGAGGATTCCCCACTGGCTGTCCCTGCCTTTACCCTTTCATTTAAAACGTGTATTACTCGACCGCTTCAGATTCCGCCATCTCATTTGAATTGGCGTTCAATGAATCTCAGGATATGATGGGCCATGAAGGATGCGCAAGATGGATCCTTCATTAGCCGGGGTAAGAAGGATGATTTTGTTGTCCCACATTTGAAGGAGTCTTCGTAAAGGGACAGCGCCCCTAAATTGGGACATGGCCTACAAATAGTGCTTCCAATACTGGTGGCAGTCTCGCACAGCGTGACCTAATATCCCTGTTCATGACCTACTCAACATGAAGCATTACATCCCTAAAGTAGCATGCTAGCTTAGATATTTCATTTGGGTGTTACGCGTGGCCAGAAGGGTTCAGTGTGCATCATCTGGGTTGTACGCTCTTAGACTTGCCCGCGCATGGATTACCTCCTAAAAACAAACCCCAGCTAGCATGCTTGAATTTGAGGTTAAATGAACGCCCCACTCCACCTCTCTGTTAACGAGCAGCTTTATTTTAAGCAAAGGGGTCAGGAGATTTGTGTTTGTATGTGATTGTTGCAATGTGTGCGTATGTCTGAGGAAGGATATGTGAGGTGAATGGAAGCGCTTGTATCCTGTAAGCACAAGTAATGCAGCAGAGAGGGCCAGGGTCCTTTAGAAAACTTTAGTTTTGATTAGCGCTGAGACCAAGAAAGCCCCCTGTGACTTATTGATGACAATGTACCAGCCCCTTCACTGCCAAATCACTCAAGAGAGTAAGAAAGTAAAACTAGGGCTGCACCTCTTGTAACACCCTCAAATATTCAGCCTGATATGAGAATGAAAACAGCCAATTGGAATTGGCCGCCAATAAGTATTCTTACTGCCAAAAAATAAGAGGCTGAGTTTTCCTGGGGGGTAGGGTTTCTGTCCAAATCCTGCCATTAGCTGTGATGCTAGCCAAACATGTACCTGGCTAGCATCTTTTATAACGTCTCACTGAATTTAATTTTGTTCTGTGATATTTCAAATGCAGATAAAACACAAAGCGTACCACTGCCCTACATCAAGTAGCCATTTGGATGACCATACTCTTAAAAGTGGCCCTAGTTGGACCCGAAACGATACCCTTGGAGTGCATGTGCATTTGTAAACGAGCTCCTTTTTTTCTGATGCACTGTTGCATCTGATTTTTTATTTTTTTTTCTCAAATAAGCAGTTTCATTTTTAGTGTTGCCTCATTTGCTTTCTAATGCTCCTCTCCTAAACCTGTTTGATGAAGCATGGAGGATGGAGAGCCTCACATTGGAGATCTCAATAAAATGGTACTTGGGAGGTATTGATGATGACAACAGTAATCTGTTTTTGAGTCGCTTCCCCTCTGGCAGTTCACAACCAGCCTTCAAAAGGTCAACAACTGTTGTGTTTAGTAAGACAAACACAAATCTTAAAGTTAAGATGATTTAAGTGTATATGTAAAACCAGGATGCTGCCATGTTTAAGGCTCATTTTCCAGAGGGCTGAAGAGTAGAATGTAAATGTTTGGCTCTGCCCAGACTTCAATTTAAACTCAAACAACAGGGCACGGGAGCATCTACCAAATAAGGGATAATGGACGGAGTCTAGGAAAATAAAATTGCCAAATATGGAAGAGGAGCGGTACTTTTTTGTTCAGAGTTGAGCAAGGCTGTGCGATTGTAAATGCTTATCCACTTTGTCTTTTGTTTGTCTCTTTTTCTAATTTTTCTTCCATCATATTTGTCTTTCCCCTCTTGGTTTTTTAAAATTTTAATTTTTGGGGTTTTTAACCCACGTGAAGTGTTAGTTTTACCGTCCAAATGTGCTCACAAGTTAGTTAACCGTGTGATAGTTCTTGTGTAACTTTTTTAGCATTAGAGCTGATAAGGGAGAAATAATATGAAAAACAATTAAGAAAAAAAAAAAAAGATAAAAGGTAAAGAGAATACAATCAGATTTACTTGTGTGGCTAATTTCTCTGTGTAATTAAAATGGACATCCTAAAAAAAAAATCAACCTTTAAATATTAATAAAAGGTTATGAGAAACATCCTGTCTCCTGTCTTGAAAGTTCAAGAGATTCTGATGTAAAGGAAAAAGCTTGTTTGTTTAATACAGTTTGCCTTTATTTGCTTCATACATTCACACACACACACACACACACACACACCAAGTTTCCAACTGACTTATCGTATACATACAGTGGTGGTGAAGTGGTGCTTGAAGAAGTGGGTATACTCTGAATTATTTACCCAAAACGTTTCTTTTAAGTGGCCCATCACCGAAAGGATAAATGCCCTTTGTTAATAACAGTGGCTTTAGCACTGCTCTTGAATATTTAGTTAGTGTGAACTAGCCAATTAGAGACAGAGTAGGGAGGGTCATCCCTTCACCATCCTAGGGAAAAAAAAGTCAGCATAAATCAATGGTGTGAAATCAATGGTGTGAATAAATCAATGGTGTGAATCAGAGGAGATTTAGAAGTGGGTATACTCTATAGTGACTGAAAAATAAGTGGGTAAACTCTGTGTACCTGCTTATACCCTACACTACACCACTGTATACATATAACATATATATTCATTTGTATATGTTTTATTATTATATTTATATGATGTATTCATATATACTTCTGTTTTTATCTCTGCTCTGTAAGGTGACCTTGAGAGTTTTGAAAGGCGCCTTTAAATAAAATGTATTATTATTATTATTATTATAAATCCCTTTTAACCACACAGTGGCAGTATTGACATATTAACTTACCTCTCAGCATTATACTGGTCTCAATTTGATGCTTTCTTCATGCTCAAATGGTGGGAATTTGGTCTTACAATTAGATTTTTTTTCCCCTAAATATTTCAACAGAAATATGTATAGAATATGTATATGTGTAGAAATATGTACTTCAAGTGGCAATAGTCAATGACGATGGTTAAGATGGTAGCTTGATTTTAATTACACAAAGTGATTTTGAAATTTCATAAAAAATCCACTTTTTTTAAATCAATAATTACAATGAAAATACACGTATTAGTGTTTTAGGTGCTTTTCCAAACATTAAAATGTCACATACAATATGAAAGAATAGTCATGATCACGATAATGCTTTCTCTCTGTCATTTGAAGGAATATAAATTATGGAGAAAAAAAAAATGAATATAAATGATGAATTAACTAAAGAATCTCAAAACCAAAATGTAGAACAAAGAGGTAACAGAGAATATGGACCAAAAATAAAAGTTAACGTTGCTCAATGCAGAGATATAAGAGTACAATAAAAAAAGATGTTTGCTAAATATATTTGATTAGAAATTGGTTATTTGAATCAACACCATCATTTATTATACATACCATGTTATATTTACCATAAAAAGAACAGGAATCTGTGCGGATAAACATGTAAAATAAATATATGAATGCCAGGGTTTATTCTTCCTCTGAGTTTCAGTTCCTTTAGGATCACATGGTTTATGAAAACAGATACATTTCCAGAAGTCTGATGAGGAAAGAAAGAGGTTAACTTAAAAACCCACAGAAAGCTGGAGCTTGGCCTTGTTTTTAAGTTCATTATAAAGTTTGTGGTTGACAACACACTTCCACAAATCCATTGTTTGCTGGGTTGGTTGGCTTGATTTTTTTTGCTGAAAATCTAAATGTCCTGCCATCTATCAGGAGTTTGAAAATATTTGCCTTTTTAACTTTGAGAAAAACCC